TGCAGTTTCCTATTTTTGCCTTCATTCATACTCACTCTTTCCTCTTTCACACTCAGTAATTCACACTTTGGATGTTCCCTTTATCTACTTTGTGAGTAACACTCGTTCTCTCCTGTCCTATAATTCTTACATCCTACAATCGCATTCACTCACAATTGTTCTCTTCACAATTCCCTCTGACTTAAGACAATTTCCCTCTACTTCTTTTACCTTGTATACTGTCTAATTCACTATCATTCTTCCCTCTCACTGATTTCTCAAAAGCACTCCTCGCTGGTGTCTCGACCACCATCAAAAAAGGTCTAGCTCATTCAAAGCTCTGCTGCCTACATCCTTACCCATACCAAATTCTGCACATTGTGAGGGTGTGGAGGCATTTGAGGATTAGATCAAGGATTTTAATGTCAGTTTACAAGGGAATAGTGAGCCAGAGAAGCCTGGTAAGAATGGAGAGAGATGATGAGCTTGTGGAGCCTGGCGTGGAAAAGACATGGTCTGTGGAATTCTGGACAATCTGGAAGAATGAACTAGTAAGGCATACATACACTTTTGGAGGGTGTTGAAAAAATCAAACTTGAATGGATAAGAATTTCACACACTGAGTTCAGCCATTGGTGTGGGGCTTTCAGCCATTTTGCCCTGCTCCCTGGAACGCTAAATCTTTCCTTTCATCACTCTCTACTCTCAAAACCTTTCTAAAAACCTAGTTTTGTGCCCTTGGTCAGTTCCCACCCTACTTTGGCAGTGACTCTGAAGCATGTTGTGGCATTTTCCTGTTTGGCGAGGGCTATATAACTGAATGTTGTTGTCCGCTTGATAAAATACAGGCCTTTTATTTGAAATCATAAGTATCCTTTGAATAAGATCCCAAGTGTCCTTTGATATTGTACTAAGCACATCATGAATGTACGAAGGACAACAGAAGGACTGTTCCACTAATTGGTTGTAATCCTCTATTTTTGTAAATCAGGCTTTCGGTTTATTTAATGCCCTATTTATAGTGATATTTATCTGCAAAAGTAGAAGGGATTTATGCTTAATGTTCTTAATTTCATTGACTGGTACTCTCAATAGTTCACCCATGTCATTGCAACATATTTTTAAATCTATGTATATAATATATACATTATATTAAATATATATGTATATATATTATAAATGTATATATATTAAAATCACCTCTTTGTATTTCCTGGCTGCAGGCAGAGTTGTAGTCCAACACACAAACCAGCACTTTACCACTATACAGCTGTGGTGTAATTTCTTTACCTGTGCAAATTTTAGCTAGAGACCATTGTCATTAATATTTAAACAAGTGGTGGCCACCTTGTAGCCCATGGGGCTGTCTAGAAGCACCTCCTGAACATTCACACTAGTCTAGGTAGGTCAAGAGTGTGTTTTCGGTTTTTCCTTGATTGAATATGGCATCAATCAAGAAATATTCAATCAAGAAAAAAAATTGTTGGCCAGCCATAAAAGTCATATCCCAGCATAGTATCAACTTTTGAAACAAACATAGATTTATAAATGAAATGTGTAACATGTGACTTATAATTTGTGCGTTGTATGAAAACAGCAGCAAAAGAGTAAAATGTTGACACTGGAATGAATTTGGGTTTTCTGAATTTTTCTCTTGTCAGTAAAGCAATATGAATGCTCAAGAAGGGATATTGATTATGTAGAACAGGCTGGTCCAACCTATTGGCTGCTGAGGGCCAGATGCTGGATTTGAGAAATTCCATGGGCAGCATAAGCAATATTTTATCCTGATCAGCCACTCTTGTGCCTGAGCCCCCAGTGACCGTGTCCTGATTAGCTTGGGAACTGTATTTACTAATCGGGCAATGGAGTTGAAAACGGTTCACAATCTGAATGAAATCGTCCCCCAGGCCAGATGGCATCCGTGGGCTGCCAGTTAAACCATCTTGACTCAGAATATCTAGTGCATTTGTGCACTACTGAATGCCCCAAATATCCTAGAAATAACAAAATAGCATAGATTTATGCTATAAATCAAGAAATATTCAATCAAGAAATATTTATTTTATTGGCCATAAAGGTTAGCCAACACTGATCCAGTGCATAGGACTTAGAATATCCATATCTGCCATTTCTAGGTTTGTATATCACGATTTAGAAATTGAGTAAATGCTACCAATACTCCCTGTCCCATAAAAATATGCCTGGACACCAACCTCAGGATATAAACCTGTAGCAATGTAATATTTCCATTTTCTACATTGATGGTCTTGACATTTCATGTGTTGGCAATGTACCTGCTGAAAATAATGTGTGTGTGTGTATATATATATATATAATACAGTCAATTTGCTTTACAGTGTATTCTGTGAAGCGCTTTTAAGATGTCTCAAATTCGTGATAGGGTGCTTCTGATGTTATTTCTATCAGATTAAGTGCAGTGCAGATAACGCTCCTTGTAGTTAACGGTCTACAGTGCAGTCAATATTGCAAAAAGAAAGCTGAAGAAAGTTTCTCATTAGAGGTTGCTGTTCTCTAATGAATGAATAATGAATAATGCTGTTCATTGCATTATTTATTTTGATTCTATCATTGTCTATCTTGGCTGTATTCCTTTATTAGTTCATCTATTTAGATCATGCAGTGGGTCAGTGTACAATATTGGGAACAGAAAAATTGCATAAGGGGATTGTAACATTTAAGGAATGAGTTCAGAAGCTGAGCTTATGAAAATACGATTTTAATTAGGGACATATCTACTGTCGGAATTGTTAAGTGTTTGTTAGGAATTATTTTAATTCATTGTTTTTATAGCTAACAAGCAGGTTGTTGGAACTGTATATGGTCATTTTGGTCAACAAACTTTGTTAGTGAATTATATTCCATGTACGATATCGAGCTCCGGTTTATTGAGCTGTACTCTGTATTGTGAGAGAGCAGCTGATATTCAAAATACAGATTTAAGAGGTGCTTTTTGTTGGTTGATCTGTTGTGTGGTGATTATAATACAAGATTATTTTCCTCTTTGATGGTAAAATTATTGATAGTTATAGGTAGTTGCGTTGCAGGGTATTCAATAATGCTATGTTGTTAATAAAATAAGATTCCACCAAACTTCTTGCACTAGTGATATACTGACTCCCAAACAAATTGGTTTAATAAGGTTTTCTGGAAAGACTGCCCACTAAATTAAAAGGTGACATAGGAATTTCAGACTTGGTTTAAATTAACCTGAAGTAAAAGCCACCCTTTCTGGATTATCTGTCAGCCTTTCTATCCTTCTCCACCACCTTTCCTCTCAGCTCCACCTTCACAGTTCTGTCGTTTCCTGGTATCATTCTTACCTATCTTCATTTCTCCACTTCTCCTGCCTCCGCAACATCACGTGCAACATTCTCAGGACTCTATCCTCGGTTCTCTATTCTTTAATATCTACATGCTCCCATTTGGCGATGTTATCTGCAGGCATTGGGTTAACTTACAAATTTATGCAGATGACAACCAGCTCCATCTCTCAGCCTCCACCCACAATTCCAAGACCACTTTTGTTCTGACCAAATGCCTATCAGACATAAAGTGCTGGTTGAGAGCTAACTTTCTCCATACAGAGGCTCTTTTGCTTGATTCCCCTCAGCGCCTTCTCTATTTAGGACTATTCTCTATTTAATCTAGAGGACGCTCAGCAGGTCGGGCAGCATCTATGGAGAAAGGAAAGTGGGTCAACGTTTCGTGTCCACGACCCTTCGTCAGAACATTTTGAGCCTACGACCCGTTCTGACGAAGGGTCATGGACTCGAAACATTGACTCGCTTTCCTTTCTCCATAGAAGCTGCCTGACCTGCTGAGTGTTCCCAGCGACTTCTGTTTTTGTTTCAGATTTCCAGCATCTGCAGTATTTTGTACAGCATTAATCTACATGGGTGCGCACTCTACCTTACGGAGCAAATCCGGAACTTCAATGTCTTGTTCAACTCTCATCTGTCCTTTAAAACACGCATTTATGCTCTTTAACTATTCAGATTTTGCCATCTCCACAACGTTGCCTGCTCCTGCTACTACCTCTCTCTCAGGCCGCTGAGATCCTTATCCTTTTATAATGTCCAGGCTAGAATACGCAAACTCTCTGCTCATCAGATATCCCAACTGCTTCCTCCACGAGCTGCAGACCATACAGAACTCTACAGTTTATGTCATCTCCTGCTTCAAGCTCCGAGAGCCTATCACCCCATCCTCGCCCGGCTCCACTGGCTCCCCATTCACCAGAGGATTGTGTTCAACATCCTCATTCTCCCTCCACTCCATCTCCATCTTGCCCCTTCCCTCGCCTCCTTCAACGCCAGTCTCAAGACCTTTCTCTTTGACCTTACTTTCATTCAACTTTTCTCTATCCCACCCTCAATCCAATCCCCAGCTTGGGTGCAAATCCTCAATTTTGGGACGTCCAAAATGACTGTCCCAAAATGCAATTTGGGGATGCAATTGTAAATGCAATTTGTTGTTGTGGCTAAATCATTTCCATTATTGGGGTCAGCACTCTGAGATGCTATGCTGTGTAAAGCGCGTTATATAAATGTTGTTTTTGTTAACAGCGCTGCAGGTAAACTGTAGTGGATTGATTTACTGACATACATTATATGTGTTATATTAAAACAATCTGATATATTGTTGCTCACAACATCAGGTGACTGTTTATAAATCAAATAATAAATTCCCTCACTCACATCCAGAGATGAGAAGACGAAGAAACATAAGTATAGTGTAGTTTGTTTATCCAGAATAATTTCCTACCGGTGATGAGCAATATACAAAATGGATAGATACACTAGATTTGATTCACTGGTGCAAAACATTACTACGGCCTTGAGACTTTCTGAATTATTGTTTTTCACATTCTTTCCATAAGTCCACGTTGATGTATCATTCTTGAATTTTTTAAAAAGTATGTCATTTTACATTTTAAAAAAATGCAAATTTAATTTTACAAATGGTGACTATTAAAATATATGTTGCTTAACTTTCAGAATTGAACTTGGACAGTGCGAATTCTCCTGCAATAAAATTAAGGACTAAGATGTCACTGCACTCATATGGAAGCCGAGAGGGATCCGTGTCTGGTCGTTCAGGAGAATGTAGCCCTGTTCCAGGGAGTTCAGTTCCAAGAAGAGGTTTTGTCAATGGAGGCCGAGAAGGCACTGGCTATTTAGAAGAGCTGGAAAAAGAGAGGTAAATCTTATTTTTTACAATCCTTCTGTTATTGCAAGAAAATGTATTTGCTATTAACTCTTAGACTGCTGGCATGTCCTGGGACATGTCAATGTTTCTGGCCTGACTTGCTAAGTTTTCAGATCATTCACTACTGCAGAAATATTCATATTATAGTTGCAGAATAACTGTCAGAAATAGCTTTTTTGATGTTGTAATAAGCCCCATTTAAATGCTTAATACTTAATTTTGTTTAAGAATTGTAAACTCTGGGTACCATGTTTCAATTGCCTCCATTTACTTTGTTTATTTTATCCAAGTAATATAATCTCCTTTTTCCATGACATTAAAAATACCAGTTATTTGCCCTTCCCATGTTACATTTTAGAAGTGGAATCAACCCTGGAAAAACTAGCTTCTGGAACAAAATTGTCTGTAAATGCTGCTGTTTCAGCCAAAGTGCTACAAATGTAAAGATCAGCATGGTCACATGATAGATGTGACAAGGTTAGTTTTGACATTTTGAGGAGTCAGGCGTGTTTATGCAGGATGAATTATATTGTATAACATCAATTCTAGCACAGTATGAAATAGGGCATAAATAATTCAACTGTGCACACTTGGAAGGGTCTCCTGGTAAAAATTTCCAGTTAATTATAATAATAAACAGTTTTGAGTTTATATAGTATACTTTTAATAAATTATGCAATAATAATAATTGAATTTGATATAGCGCCTTTTCACATCTTGGAGACTTCTCAAATCACAGAATATTCTCTAAAGTGAATTGACTGTATATTTTGTGGGCAAAATGATGATTGTACTTTGCGGTATTCATTGTGGCCTAGAATGTCAGTTGTGTCATCTGTCTGCCATCCATCAAGTGAAGGCTCAAACCCACGCATGCCGGATGTCAAATGATCAACAAGTGACTATCCCTCTCTCTGGCGGTCTCGGTAGTCCAGTTCAGTTCCTGAGTAGTCTGGGTCCGTAGTATTCCAGGCCAGTGCTGACGACAGCCTAACTCATCGGCAGGACCTGGAAGGGCAGACCAGTCACTAGGGGCAGGGAATCATCCCACTCAGCTCTGATTAACCCAGCAATGGCAAACTATGTGGTTTTAGCTGGTTAGACTCCAGCAGTACCAATGCACACTCTAGGGTCCCCAAGCCTTGGCTTTTGCTAAGCTGTGCCTGATACTTTCTGAAATTAGGTAAGCAGGGAGAGAATGTGCATTCCATTCCAGCAAATCATCTCTGGAATTTCCCCGTATAGGTGGGGATGCATGGAACTCTGTTTGGTTTGGATACTCTTAAACATGGTTATGGATTTCCGCATGTGTCAGACACCCAACTGACTGAAAAAAATCAGTTGTGTCAGTTAATCAGCAGAAACTGGATTTCAACTACCAATATCTTTCAGTTGTAACGTTGCCCAGAGATGAATCTTTGATTCTTTGTCTGAACTGGATTAAATTTGCATGCAAAACCAAAGGACAGTATGATAGTGATACCAACTCTTTGTTAATATCTTTTCTCCTAACTTATCCTGTAGCTCATTGGTTAGAGCACTCGCCTCGCAAGCGAGAGACCTGGGTTTGATTCCTGGTGGGGCGAAATGTTGGGCAAGTTTCTTTACTCCACACGCCTCTGTTTACCTAGCAGTAAGTAGGAAACCTACTGTGCTACCTAGTTGTTAGTCGATTGGTGGATCGTTTTTCCGGGATAATAATTCCTTCAAAAAAAAATAATGAATTGGTCACTAAATCCATGATTGTAGGATACTGCTATGCGCAATTGGCTGCCGTGTTTTGTCCACAAAATATAGAGTCAATTCACTTTAGAGTATATTCTGTGATGCGCTTTGAGACATCCCGAAGATGTGATAAGGTGCTATATCAAATGCAAGGGTTATTATTATTTCCAGTACCATTCCTCCTTGATTTGGAGATGAACATGGTTATGGATCCTGCCTTAACCACCTCAACCATTCCACATCCAAGGAATTGTGGGAAAAAATCTTCCTATTCTCTCCCTTTGGTACCTTGCTAACTATCTTAAAATGGTGGCCTTTTGTCATTGACTGGAAGGATAGCTATGGAAAAGACTGCTGCATGAACATTCATATCCTCAGTCATCATGAGAGGCAACTGCGTAACAGAGAGAAACGTGAAACAACAGGAGAAACAAAAGTGGTTAAATGTCGATGCAAATGACGTGATCAGTGTCCTGTGGCTTGACATCACGAGCAGCCTTAATGTAGGTACTGATCAGCTATACAAGAACAAGCATCTTGATGCTCTGTGATGCAAAGATATCAATGAAGGGCTTGTTTCCGAAAGTACTGTAGCTCCTTTGATGAAATATTTCCAAAGTTAAAAGGGGCTCACATCTTGTGCTTTAAATGAATGTGATCATGTGTTTACTGTACATCACTCTAATTGGTGTTGAAACTGATCCGTTTCAGTCACGTTTGTAGATCTATTATGTCTAGAATTTCTTTCCTATTTAGTACACACACCACTTTCACATTCTCTTTTCCTTCATGTTTTGTTTCCATAATTTCACAAACGTCTTATATTGAATGTGTACAGCTCACTAACCTTAGAAGTAGACATAGTTACAGCAATGCAGTAAGATGTTTTTCTTCTGAAACATGTTTCAAAGTAAACCCAACACTGACCTGAGATTAAGAGGTTTTTCTGCCCCCCTCTTGGATGAGGGGAGTGGTGGAAAGGACTGATCAGAGAAAGTTAAATGTTTGTTCGATCTGCACAGTGAAAAGGCTTTGTTTAAGCCTTCTACATGGCTGTGATCTGAAGCACTATGCATATATTTACATCAAATTATTGCCTCATCTTGACAACTGAAGGTAGTAAAACACTTTGCTTCATATTGGCCTAAGAACCCTCAAACTAAAGTTCTTCAGTTTCACTGCCAATTCTTGTACTGCTTTGATATGTAACTAAGGAAAGGTGGTAAATTATCTACCAAGGGCAAGTCTTGCTCATTCCTTGAAAGAATTGCTGCTGCTTTACATCACTCTTAGTCTACCTATATTACCTTCCTGATGTACTATGGTTTAGAACTGCTTTATTGTTTGTCAGACACACAGGCCAAAATAATACTGGAGCTTGGGGGTCTTGATCTCTCTGGCTCCAGGGAATAGCTCATAATAAGATTTTATGTGAATGGAGTTAGGAAACATCATCTGATAACCTATATAAGAAAGTATGATTTTCTTAAAAGAACAGAGTTTTGATTAGTTCCCCCCACCCCCCAACGCGCACGCGCGCACACACGCGCACGCATACAGTCATGTAGACATCAATGCCTCAAAACTTTCTGGAAGAAGTTACTGGATATTGGAATTCAATCTCTGTAGCTCAGGGTCACTGAGGCCATTTGGAGCATTGCTTCCCTGACTGAAAGCAGCTAACTCAGCACATACCAGGAATCAAACCAGCAACTTTCTGTCAATATTAGTTTAGTGCTGCGTTGGTTGAGCTTTTAAAGAATAAGAACTACATAGCCTGAGATAGGTAATGTAACATTAGGTACTTGAGGCATTTTGTTCATTTGAAACAAATTGAATTGGGCACCATTTACTGCTTCATCTAACAAATTCAAGGTTATTTCAGCACTGATTTCTGCAAGGATTTTTGTACTGATCAGATCTTTGGCTATATCAGTGCAACACCATGCACATGGTTTGCCCCGAGCTCTGTTGAGAGGATGGTGCTGCATAAAGAATCAGCCATGTGTATAGGAAATAATTTGTTTCCACATTCCTGATTTTCAAAGGGTGCATGGCAGTATTCGTTTTCTTTTTAAAAGAAAAAATCTTTTAAACACTCACTCCATCCAGAGGCTACAGATGAAGTAAAATGTGACAGTTAAGCCGCTGAAGGACTGTCTCAGTAAGAGCTATTTTATGTTCACAGTTGTTCGCACACCATTTTGAAGTGTTGCTTCACAACACTAAGCAGCTATAATTTTTGCCATGTGTCATGGAAACATTTAATTACCAATGAAAAACAACAATTTAAAAATGTGATAAGTACTGTTCTGAAGCACAATTTTGATAGGATTTTATAATGCAGAGCATGCAGATACCAGCATTAAAAGGTTTTTTTTGTTCTCTTCTGCCTAAGTAGTAGCTCTACTTGCTTTTGCTTTTTAGGTCATTACACATGAAAGTCTCATTCCACTCAGTTCCACCCTTGCTGAGTGCTGGGATAGAGTTTGGATCAGACGCTCTGGCTAAAATTAGATTTTGTTTAAATGTGGATATTTTTCCAGCTTTCATTGGTTGCAACACTGATTTCTCATTCGTGCTTTATAAACATAATGTAATAAAAATGTCCTATGGTTAATATGTAGGACCAGAACAACAAGCTACACAAAGGCTTCAAACCCGTGAGCTTTAATTTCAGTTTCATTAGTAATATCTTGACCCAATAAATCATAGCTCTGGAAATGTAAAATTTACTGAAATACATTTGAAGGGCTATGCTTGTTTCTAAAATTTTAATTCATTTTTTGAAGGTGGTAAGTGGTAACTCCCATTGCAATGGAGATTTTTGATCCAATCCATTCCAATGAACAGTAAAACTATTTTCAAAATGTTTGCTTTACTTACCCAGACGGCCGCTAAATGTTTCCTACCTATAAATTTTGTGTATGTGTGTGTTGGGGGTGGGGAGGTGCGCAGTGGAGACGGGGGGAGAGAGAGAGTTGTGACCAGAATCCCACAGGAAGAGGGAGAACATTTGTGTTACCAAGTAAACCTGGGAGCATTTAGAGATGACTGGGAGGTTGTCTTCATTGGGGTGCAATGCTGCAATTGCGAAGAGTATTATCTACTTGTTCCCATGACATGATTAAAAAAAGATTGTTTCTCCCGGTGACTTGGCCAACAATCCTGTGTCAATCATATGATGGCTGTTCTGAGACCTTGATGGTGCAATAGCTTCTGATAGCCCATAAAAACAGTTACTGCACCTGACAAAAATTATATGTGAAGTGGCAATGTGGCAAGATGCTAGAAAATACAAGTATTGTTTTGTTTTCTCTTTCCTATCTGAGGAAAAAAACTAGCACAATAAAAAAAATTGTGGCAAATGGATTTTGGCCATTTGTACTTGAAATGTCAATGTTTCACTGCTGGTTGACATTGACTTCCAATTCTAGCACTTATAATTTCTTTGTAAGACCAGTAATTTTTAAAATAAAAATATTCTTCTTTCCGGTAAGTATCCTTAAAATACATTAATATCCTCTTAAACTTCAACAGTTTGAAAGCAGAGCAGGCACAGCTGAGACAACAGCTTTAAAGCCTAGATATTGGTTCAAAGATATGGAGATTGGATAGAGCCAAAACAGGAGCTGGGAAGAGAATAGAGATTGTACTGAGAGGAAGCAAAAAGCAGGAAGCAGGAGCCATGAGTCAGTTAATTTCATTAGGACTATTGAACCACCTTGAGAGACAAATCAGTACAGTACTGTGTTTCAATATGATTGATGTTTGAGAGTGATGCCATGAATATATTGTGTACTGCTTTCTTTGGAGATTAATGTGTAATTAGGTGTTAGCTGTTTTCGTGCTTTGTGGCAATATTACACACAATGGTTTAGCATAACCATATAAGGGAAAGGAAGCATTCTGAATTAATGGTCTCCGTTGATGTAAAAACCTTTCTTGCATGATCCATTGTAGCAGTTTCTTCCAAACCAGGCTCCCACTGGTGTTAGTATTACTAAGGCTTACTATAAAGAGTAATAAAAAAGAAAATTGGGGAACAGAATCCAAAGAGACAAATCATATTCCTTTGTAATTTTTTTAAATTGCCATTCTAATTCTGAGACAATAAGAAGCTAAATTTAATGCCCTATCTGTCTTGGTCTTGCTCTTCATACCATTTCTTAAAAAAATACAAACCAGTTTTACTGGAATCGATATTGCTTTCATTTCTGTAAAAAAAATCCCTATGAAATGGGTAATACATAACAGCCCACGTAAATTGATTAGGTTTTATCCATATGTGTAGTTTTATTCATGTGTACAATTTTAAATATTGTATTGATAGCCCTCCTCATCCACCTGTCTTGCAGAACACATGCACACATACACACAAACATTCACACACATTGGCCAGTTCATCAACAGTTCTATGCTTTGTGCCATTGCTCATGGCAATTAAACGCAAATATATGGGTACTGTATGGTTTGACAAACTTGACCTTGCTGGGTGACTAGGAACAGAAATAGACTTATAGAATGTATTCATTACTGCTTGTGGGCAAAACAGATTTTCCGAGAACCTATCAATACCCCAAGAATTGGTTCATAAAGCTATAGCGAATGTCATTTGAACAGTTACTTACAGGAGATAGAGATCTAGATAACTGTATTGTCTGGGGCGAATCAGCCAGAAGTGGTGTGTGCAGTTTTGTTGCTAGAATTGTTTGCAGTGATTAATTTGGGTGACACAACACCCCATTAAATTTGGGTGACACAACACCCCATTAGTGATTTCATGTATCTATCTTAAACTGGCCATCCATACTTTTCGTACATCCTCATCAGGAATATAGGTGTCTTAATGAAATAACTGGCTTTCAACGTAGACAATGCAAAGGGTTGTTTGTATATAATGATTCACAGCTACTTGTGGCCAACTGTCTCACTCCCTGGGAAATAACTAGCTAAATGGTTAGTGGGATGTGTTCATCACTGTTGTGCAGTATTGGCTGTATATTTACTGGTACAGAATTTTCAAAGGACTGTCTTTATTTAACTCAATGTAGGAACTCCAGCTAAACGTGCTCCTCCCATAGTATATATTACAGGAACAGCCTGAGACAAAAGGATATGGGTTTCCAGTGAAAGAAAGCAGAGAAGTAAAAGTATATTTTCATCATATTTTCTTCATTATCCAAAATAAGCTTTCAGCTGAAAAGTGCTAATGCTAACATTTGGGTCCCCTTGAACTGTATTGCCACTGAACAAACTACATTCTAATTCAGATGTATTCTTTGTCAGGTCTTTGTTACTGGCTGAGATTGAAAAGGAAGAGAAGGAAAAGGATTGGTACTATGCACAACTTCAGAATCTCACTAAGCGGATCGATAATCTCCCTCTTATAGAAAATGTAAGTTCCATTTGATTTATGCGGATATAGCATAGAGGTAATCAAACAGATGCTAGCATGTAATTTAAAAATGTCATTTCCTGAATTTCATTAACCAAGTAAGCTTGGATTTTACACTAATTATTTTATCAGATTGTTATAAAGTGTGTGTTTAACTTTTTCAGCTAATTTAAATTCAGACCAAGTACATTGGCAGAAATTTAAACATTGTTTTAGATTCCGGATAGAGTATTTCATAGAATCATAGAATCGTACAGCACAAAAAGAGGCCATTCAGCCCATCGAGTCTGTGCCGGATCTATGAAAAGAGCAATGTAATGTCAATCCCACTCCCAAGCCCTTTCCCCCCAACCCTGCAAACCCGTCCTCCTCAAATACCCATCCACCGCGTTTTTAAAAGTTGTTATCGAATCGGCCTCCACCACCCTTTCAGGCAATGCGTTCCAGATTCGAACAACCCGCTGCGTGAAAAAAATTCTTCTCACCTCTCCTCTGCTTCTTTTAGAAACTATCTTAAATCTGTGACCTCAAGTCAACAACACACCCACCAGTGGAAACAGTTTTTCCCTTTCTAACCTATCAAATCCCCTCATGATTTTGAAGACCTCTATTAGGTCTCCTCGTAACCTTCTCTGCTCCAATGACAATAATCCAAGCCTCTCTAGCCTTTCCTCATAATCAAGGTCCCTCAGTCCTGGTACCATCCTCGTAAATCTCCTCTGCACCCTTTCCAATACCTTAACATCCTTCCTACAGTGTGGTGCCCAGAACTGGGCACAGTATTCTAACTGAGGCCTAACCAGTGTTTTATATCGGTTAATCATAACCTCCTGACTTGTACTCTGTGCCCCTATTTATAAAGCCTAGAATTCCACTTGTTCTTTTTACGGCCTTATCTACCTGTCCTGCCACCTTCAAGTTTTCATTTACCTGCACCCCAGGTCTCTCTGTTCTTTTACCCCCCTTAAGATTGTATTACCAGCCTGTATTGCCTCCCCTCATTCTTTCTTTCAAAATGCATTACCTCGCATTTCTCCACATTGAAACTCATCTGCCATGTGTCTGCCCATTTTACCATTCTGTCTATGTCTTCCTGCAGTTAACTCCTATCCTTCTCACTGTTTACCACCCTACCTAATTTGGTGTCATCTGCAAACTGGGAAATGGTACTTGCTATACCCAAGTCCAGATCATTTATATATATATATTAAGAACAGTGGTCCCAATACCGATCCCTGGGGGACACCACTGTACACTTACCTCCAGTCAGAAAAGCAACCTTTCACCACAACTCTGTGCTTTCTGTCTCCCAGCCACTTCTGGATCCAAGCTGCCACTGTCCCTTTTATACCATGGGCTTCTATTTTTCTTACAAGTCTTTTATGTGGCACTTCGTCAAATTCCTTTTGAAAGTCGATATAAACTACATCGACTGCACTACCTTCATCCACCCTCTCCGTTACCTCATCGAAAAATTCTATCAGATTTGTTAGACAAGATTTGCCTTTAACAAATCTGTGCTGCCTGTCCCTAATTAACCCATATTTTTCTAAGTGAAGATTTATTCTGTTCCGGATTATAGTCTCCAGGAGTTTCCCCACTCCTGATGTTAGGCTGACTGGCCTGTAGTTCCCAGGTTTGTCCTTCTGCCCCTTTTTGTACAGGGGAGTAATCATAATCAGTTGATTATGATTGTCGGGTTCTTACCATTAAAAAATAACTATTGTGACCCAAATTCAAACATAGAATATAGAATGCTGAGGTGAACTTCCACACATGGATTTGCATTTGTATATATTTTTAAAAAAGTCTAGCTTTTTTTTAAGATACCAAAAATCCCCCCTGCTTGAAATAATATGAGTGACCTCTTTAGCAGGAAGTAAGCATTGCGTGATGCAGTTTTTCATACCAGGATGTCATCGTTTGGAATGGTTAAACATGGGCATCGGTTCTAGCAAACGATCATGATGTTGTTTGCATAAATATGTACAATTGAATACATTTAACTGAGTATTTCTCATTAATCAGTAAGTGCATTTCATAAGTTTGAGAACCTCTTCCAATGCTTCTGATGCACATGAATTGTATATTTTACTCAAATGAGAGAACAGTTGAAATGTAGCTTCCTATAACTTAGTCAACTCTTGAAATTCTAGGCTGTTGGGTGCAGGACCACAACTAGCAATATTTCACGAGTGAAAATTAAATAGCGGTATAGAAATGTAAGACTTCATTGGACTGTGCAAAAATTGCTCACTCTGATAGAATAAGATGTGATTGTAACTTAAATCATTAACCACCATGAGCTTTCTCCCATAATATTTAAATTCTAGTGTATGGGGATTAGCACTGCAGTGGGTGGAAAGTTTGAAAATGTTAGACGTCTGTGGGTATTTTGTGTTGTATCTATGTATTCCCTATACCCAGCTAAAGTATGGTTGTTTCCATTGTACCTGGCATCAAAAATGACTGGAACATGTCTACAGAGGGATTTTGCTAGCAGTAGCTTTATGGTTGTTTCGATTGAGAGCAACGTTTTTGTGGCCTTTTTTGGCTGAGTGAAGTACACTATTTCAAATAAAAATATTTGGCCATAAAAAAATATTTAAATGTAAAAAAAATGGATTCTATGTAACTAAAGTTTTTAAACTGTTTGTTTTTAAGGTTCCACACAATTCCCAAAGCTATCTCACTTGAACAACTAATGTTCTATAATTTTATTAATGGCATGGATGATTCAAGTGTTTGATATTTGAATTCTTTAATTGTATACTTTTTATTTCTGGTTGCCCAATGAATATATTTCCCCTCTAAATGTGAAGACTTTTATAAAATTGCATTTTCTTCCCTGACTTGCCTTTGCATTTTTTTTCTCTCTCTATTTAATTATTGAAATCTGGGTTCTGTATCTATTGGGATTAATATACTGTAATTGTTCGATACCTAAAGTTCCTTTGTAAGCCTCCAGAGGAGCAAACAGTAATTACATTGATTGGCCATCTTTGGACAGTTTTCTCTGCAGACAGACATGACTAGAAGACAGTTAGAGTACGAAGCACGACAGATTCGATCTGCAATGGAAGAGCAACTGGGAACCTGTCAAGACATGGAGAAACGAGCTCAGGTATCATTGCAATTGTACAAATTCTATGAACGTCGAGATGACGTCATATGGAATAATTAAAAGCTTGTACAGTGAAATCCGTTTTTTGCCAAACTATTTCTGTGGTTTTGTATCAATAAAGATAGGACGTCCAAAGATGGGAATGAGCCCTGACTATCCAACAATAACTTCCATTTATACAGCATCCTTCATTTAAACTAATGTCTTTGAGCATTTTACAGAGACTGTGCCAGAAACTGAGTGCGGTAGGGGGAGTGAGGGAGATGACATGGTCAAAGTGGTAGGTTTTTCGATAGGGTGAGAGGGAGGGAGTTCTAGAATCAGTATTGGATGCAAATTGGATTTCTGCCCTAATTGGATCTTTTCTAGGTAGTAACACATCAGTCCTATAACAGTAATAACATTTTGCATTCAGTTAAAGCATCCATGTTTGAGTCAAAACTGTATAAATTGCATTCATCCAGCATTTTAAGAACCTGGACCCCAAGTTCCATTTTACCTGACTCAAATTCATCCCACTGCAGATGAGGGTGATACGAATTCAGCAAATCGAAAAGGACATGCTTCGTTTACGACAGCACTTGCAGTCCCAGACAACGGAATCCGAGGTCAGTGCCTTTTATCCTTTGTTAGTTTGCTTTGAAATAATGTTTTTTTTGGAAGTGTGTGGCTGATTTGTTTAGTTAGACTCAGAGCATCTCACATTTCATTCCATGAATAAGAATTGATGCTGATTCATTTAGAAAATATTGATCCTGCTTCTTTTTTAAAAAAAAAACAATTCTCTCTTAAATTATTGATGATGATAAAGCAACTGAAAATTGACCAGATGAAAACTTTGTTTATGTGTAGGTACAATTTCCCTTCCTCAAGATAAAAACAGACAATGCTGTATGCAGTCAAAATACTGACTGCTGTATTTGAGAATGTGACACAAAATGTACAATGTGATTTTTATGAAGCGCATCCAAAAAAACAATGTAAATCTGCTTTGAACCACAAAATTGCACTAAAGCACTTTTGGATCATTAACTTCTTTTTCCAGATTGAACCCTCCAAATTGTGGATGAGTTCACTGATCCAGCACTGTCTGATTACAAGGAATGTTGATTATATTTATTGGTAGCTCTTTCAGATGATTTGGGGCTTTGAAGTGGCTGTGAATAAAAACGTCATTGTGAAATAAATCTGTGTAACATAATGAATTCACAAATTCATAATACTGTGCTCAGCTATGCAGGGCAGAAGATAGACTGGCATGATCAATGCCTCCTGTATAAACACAATTAAATTTTTTGCTTCCAATTATATATCGGAATAACTTGTTCAGTGACTTTGGTGGAACAACTATTTTTACATTTTGATGGTGGCAATAGAAATTCTGGAGTTTCTGCATGTTTAACTATTTGATATTTAATACTGCAGTGGGGGGAGTGCATTTTTTGATAATGGGTCGTATCAACAAAATAGTTGCATAGTTCATCTGTAGAGCAATCAGAGTTATAGAGTTGTGGTTTCAAATATCCATCACAAATCCAGAATAATTAAACACCATAGAATCTTTAAAGAAACATTTGATCTTCCCTTTGGTTACTATTTTGAGTACATTTGTAATGATGGGTGTACTCTTGATTTGTGAAGGACTGGTAATGTGCGCGTTCTAATCTGAAGGTTAAATCTATTTTTGCTAGGCTTTGATCATAAACTGCTTGGTGAGCACTATAACATTCTAAACTCGGCCTTTTGAAATGGAGACGAGATAAGTATTAAGCCCTCATGCTTAATTGTTTAGTGTGGAGTTTTAGGATGATCTAATATTGAAAATGACCATTCAAGGCATGTTCTGTGGAAATGGATGTTCTCTGTTCAGTCCTAAGATTTGATTACATTCTCAAACTGGACAGGTAATGAGGGGAGCTACTTTCTGCCCATTTTTTGGCAGATGTATTCATGCCCCTACTTGGTAATGGAGCTGGAGCCCAATTTGGCATTGTTGTCCATTATTTCGTCCATAAAATATACAAACAATTCACTTTACAGTGTATTCTGTGACGCGCTTTGAGACTTGATAAAGCGCTATATCAAATATAAGGATCATTATTATTTGAAGCTAGGTTTCTGGACATTCATCACGTCGGGTGCATATATTTAAAAGATGAACCAGATGAGAGAGAGTCTCGGTGTTGAATAAGGATAGACTGGCAGCTTGCGTGGTAACTGCATTTATGCTGCGAGCCTGGTTTCTATAACAACAACAAGATTACATTTGTTTAGCGCTTTCACATTGGGAGGACGTCCCAAGGCGCTGGACAGAGAACAACATTTCAGAGCCAAGCTGGGATTGAGTGGGGAAGGGAGGGGAGGGGAAGGGGGGTGGCCGCTGTCATGGTAGAAGCGGAGGGTCTTGAGGCGGGACTTGAAGGAGGCTAAGGAGGGGTCGAGGCGGAGTGATTGGGGGATAGAATTCCAGAGGTTGGGGGCAGAGTGGCTGAAGGCTCTCCCGCCAATGGTGGAGTGGGTGAGTCGGGGGACGTGGAGCAGCCGGAGCCGGCTGAGAGGAGGGAACGGGTGGGTTGGTATAAAACCATTTTTGACACTTTGAGCCTGCAAATGACAAAACCCTGCATTTGTTTTGTGCTGTAGTTGACTAAATCTGACATCAAGTAAATTTCTATTGGCTTTGTGCAGTAATATGGAATAAAAGGAACAAGTAGGTAACTACTATATTTTGGTAACTGTTTCAATAATAATATTTATTTATTAATAATAATCTATAATAGCTTATATTGTGCTTTTCATGCAAAGTTTCCAAAATGCTTGACAAATCTAATAGTGAGCATTGACCAGGGAAAGGGAATTTTAAACCATGTTGACCAAAGGCAAGGTCAAAGAGATTTTTTTTAAGCTTTATTTTAGAATAGTGTGACTACCTCTGGGAATGTCAGATTCCAGCACATTTCTAAAATCAATTTGCAAATGCAATTTTTCTGCTAGCCCATAAGCGACTGGTTTTCATTTTTCCCTTTTATCAAATGTTCTCCATATTTCTATAAATATAACTAGTTTGATGTATTCAGAGGGCTTCACGCCTGCTGCAGCTGCAAAATGACAAAAAAAATCCTTGGAGTTTCACCGAATTCTTGTATCTGTTACCTGAATAGGTTTGTTGACCTAGAGGTAGCTTGCTGCTTAAATTTGCAGAATTTCAGTTCCAGTGGGTAATTAATGCTTTTAATTTAGATATTCAAGACTGCTGGGCTTTTATTATACAGTTTTTTTTTGCTTTTAGGCAAGAGTGGTGCTTCTGATAACCCAACTATTCGCAGAAAAGACTTTTTAGGAATACACATTTTTAATGGCAGTGCTGTTCTAAATGTATGTGCTAAAAAGGATGACTGCTTCTGTCTACCCCGAGGCCATTTCGTTTTTATTTTATTACGAGCCATTCAGCGTGTAGTAGCTTATTGGCCCGAGATTCTCAGGATGTTTGTCATGTGACTGAATGCTCTCAGAGCTGCTTCATGCATTCTGCATCCATCCCTCAGACAGTTTTTTTTTCCTTCCTGTCATTTTAACTGCACAGCCAGGAAAGCATGGTGTCCTGTGATTTTATTGTTTTAAAAAATGCTGGAAATGTTAAATAAAAAAGACAGAAAGCTCTGGAAATGCACAGCAGAGTCAGCAAAACTGAAGGAGAAAACTAGGTTAATGTTCTATGTGTAACCTTCATTAGAAGATTCATCAGAAGGACGAGGTCTGTAGCTTTTTTGAACATATCCTTTGTCTCCGCAACGTGTAATGGACTGCTATATCTCAGTGGACATGCTGCACTTTCAGCATGTCATTGAGGGGATGTGCTTGCTGCTAATTATTGAGGCCAGAGGTTAAGGAGTAACAGCATCAAGCATAATTTCACTGCAGAGCCACAGCATGGAGGCACAGAGAGCTTCATCTAATCCCCATGTTTCTCCTTTTCTATGTTCTTAATTTAATGCCGAGGCTTTTCTTTAAACAGAAGGCATCGCAAAATAAGCATGAACAGCCGGTGCCACGTGATGCAGAAGGGCCGAGTGACTGTCAGGAAACAACAGAAGCCAGCATGGGTACCACAGGGAGTGGCCAGGTAAGCCACGGTATTTTAATCCTTTTCTTATGAATTACAAGGTTGCTGGCAGGGGTGGATTTGGTGCATTTCTTGTTTCTGGGTTTGCATCCTAAGTAACTGAAGTATAGTGAGTATTTTTATAAATGTACTCTTCGAAATATCGTTTAGGTTAATCCTCTGCAGCTCAAAGTACTCAATTGTTCTGATAAATATATTTTCCTGAACTTGATTCCATGAAAATTTTATTAAATATTCTAAAATATGATGAAAATAATACTGGATATGTTTGGAATTTGTTGTTTGTTGGTGTTGTTGGTATGCGCATTTATAGTTCATGCTAACAATACAGTTTTTAGACTGATGTGCAAAGAGAGTACCACAAAGGGTTAAGAAGGGTGATGGCCGGATGTAAATTGTAGGCTTGCTGTTTTGATTATAATGTTCAGATTAGCTGAATTTAAACTTTGTTTTACGTTGAACCCTATTATCGACCCTTTGAGGCACATATTTATATATTCAGTAAAATATCAGTATTCAGCAAAAGACCCTTATATGACCATGAAAACAAAATTGAAAAAAAATCCAATCAAGGCTAGTAATAATGGTTTCCTTGGCTTTGCAATCCATTAGAGCAGAGCAGAGAACAGATGCTTTGTAGGGTGGATCTGATTACGCAATCCATCTAAAAGCTCACTCATTATGTGCTGATCTTCAGTGATTGCTGTGTTATCTGATGCTTAGCTTGTGTCTCTGACACTCATCAAACACGCCGTCCCTCTCCCAGTGGCCGCTGCATTCAATTTGTACCTGTACCCCGTTGTGTGAAGGATTTTCATTGCTTAAGGTAGCAGCAGCAGCAAATGTTTAGCTGGGGGGCAGAAGCAGCACTGCCACAAGCAGCAAAAACTGAACTGGGTTTATTTTACATCAAATTCAGCGAGTGGCAAAATGGTGAGCTAAACATCACATTAACGAGGATTAAAGGATTGGTTGTATCAGATTGATGACTTCCTGTTTATTTCCTTGCTGATCAGTGTTGATAATGCATCCTGAAGTGTCTTTTTAGGAATAATCATTCAATGTTTAGATCAGAACAGGAAGCACTAAATTACAGCATTAAAGGGTGTGTGCTGCCATTGTTGGTTTGATAGCAGGGTACATTCTGCAGTGGGTAAATCTCAGTTTCTGTAGGTCTGTGCTCCAAGATATTGCAAATCTCTTTAAAGTACTGTGCTACAAATATTCATTTATAATTTATATGTAACTCAAGCTCCAGTATTGTTGGAAGTAAAATTGATCTGACAGTTTCAAATGTTGGATCACAGATATTACAGTATTTTTATTTTTATTCCTGCTCTTTATCAATCTTCTTTTGTAGCTTAATGCTGTAAATGGTTCATAATTCACATCCTGGTTACAAATGGAATATGGCATTTTATCTGTTCTATCTTCATTATCCTAAACTCTGCCCTTATTTACATCATGAGGAGACTGCCCAACCTATCTTTGATACTGTTAGTGCCATGTCTTGGTTAACACACTAGCTGACCCACCCTGGACTGGAAGATGCATCCCTTGGAAAATCTTCTCACAAGATCTCTTCGGTTGAAGAAGGCTCTTTTGCCCATCTGATCTCATCCCTCCAGAATAACCACCCTATCAGCCTCCCACCACAGCATCAAGCTGCTTTTTAAATGAGTCTCAGGTTCTGGCCTCAACCACCCTTCTTGGTCATCTGTTTCAATCGTAAATTACACTCGTGTTGAATGCATCACAATTTCGATCTTCTACATTAGCTTTGCAACTGTTGAGCCACCCCTAAGGAGAATATATTAAATCGTGTGCAATAATTTTTATACTGTAAAAATAATTCTACCCCATTTTGAGTGTTATGTAGAATTTGGATACAATTATTTTCAAGTTGGATTTTATAATAAGAATTGATTTGCATTTGCAGTATCTAAAAAGATTTACACAGGCTAATGAGTAGGTGATATGCTTATATCTCAAACAGATGAAATGTTAAAAGATTCATGTGTGTATCTTTCCAGATAAATCTTTCTACAGTTTTGCAAGTGAATTGCCCGGCATTTTTGCCAAGGTTGAATGACCTGTCATCACATACAGCTGCAGTTAAATTATTAAATCTGTATAAATGTTGAGTTTTTTTGTTTTGTTCTACCTGCATTGTATTTTATCAGTTAGTATTGAAGAAGCATTTTGTGCCCGTGTTTTTCTAGTTCCAGAACATGGGAAAATAATGCTCTTGTTCTGTATTGACCACAACCAAGTTCCCTCTTCTTCTTGTAATCTATATCCTCCTATAATAATAATCCTTGCATTTGATATAGCGCATTATCATGTCTTCTAGACGTCTCAAAGCGCTTCACAGAATATACTTTAAAGTGTAGTGACTGTATATTTTGTGGGAAAAATGCGGCAGCCAATTGTGCACAACAGTGTCCCACAGTCGTCGATTCAGTGACCACATTATTATTTTTGGTTTTTTTTGAAGGGATTATTACCCCCGGAAAAGCGATCCGCCAATTGACTAACAACTGGGTTCCTACTTACTGCTAGGTAAAAAAGTGTGTGGAGTAAGGAACCTTGCCTAAGGCTTCGCCCTGCCCTGGACCCATCACTGCTCTCAAACTACTGCCCCATCTCCAACCTCCCTTTCCTTTTCAAGGTCCTGGAATGAGTCGTTGTTTCACAGCTTCGCTCCTTCCTCTCCCTTCAGGAACCCCTCCAATCGGGCTTCCATGCCATCCACAGCACAGAAACAGCTCTGGTCAAAATGACGAACGACATTCTGTCTATCTGCAACACGGCTCCTTCTGCCTCCTCGTTCTCCTTGATTCTCTGCTGCCTTTGATACCGTTGATAGATTTTTGGTAGGTCAGGGATATGCGGAGAAAATGGTAAATTAGAATTGAAAGGATTAGTTGAGGTATAGATCAGCCGTGATCTAATTAAATGGGCAACAAACTCGAAGGGCCGAATGGCCTACTCCTGTTCCTATGTTGACCTCTCAATCCTCCTCCACCGCCTCTCTTCTCACCTCAACCTTCATGGTTTTGTCCTTGAATGGTTCAGATCGTACCACTCACTCTGTCTCCACTTCATCTCCACAAATAACTTTTCCTCTAGCTCCCGCACCATCTAGTGCAGAGTTCTTCAGGGCTCTGTCCTTGGTCCCCTCCTTTTCAATATCAATATGCTTCCTCTTGGTGACATCATCAGCAGACGTGGAGTCAATATGTATGCGGATGACACCCAACTCTATCTCTCTGCCTCCACCCTCAACTCCAGGAACACTACTGTCCTGACAGAATGTCTGTCAGACATCAAGTCCTGGATGAGAGCTAACTTTCTTCAGTTGAACGTCAACGTGGAGTCCTGTATTTCAGTGGTTAAAGCACTCGCTTCATAAGTGAGAGACCAGTATTTGATACCCGGCAGGGCGAAACCCTGGCCGAGTTTCCTTACTCCACACACCTGATAATAATCCCTCAAGAAAAAAAACAATAATAAATTGGTCACTTCAATCCACGACTGTTTGTGGGTACACTGCTGTGTGCAGTTGGCTGCCGCGTTTCGCTCCCAAAAAAAATAATTCACTTTCAGTATCTTCTATGAAGCGCTTTGAGACGTCTAGAAGACATGAAGAGTGCTGTGTCAAATGCATGGATTATTTTTATTATTAACAAGACTAAGGCCCTCCTGCTTGGCTCCCGTCAGCACATCCACACCTCAGGCACTGACAGCATCACCATCCAAGGATGCTCATTCCACCTTACTAAGCCAGTCCAGAACCATGACACCTTGTTTGACCCTCAACTATCCTTTCTATCCCACATCTGTGCCATGACCCGCTCTGCCTTCCCCCACCTCTGCTACATTGCCCAGCTCCCACCACTGTCTCACACTGCAGGCCGTCAAGACCCTCATACCCGCATTCATAACATCCAGGCTTGACGATGCAAACTCCCTGTTTGTCGACCTCCCGAACTCCTCCCTCCACAGGCTGCAGATCATCCAGAACTCTGCAGCCCGTGTCCCTCCTGCACCAGGCTCCGAGACCCCATCAGCCCCATCCTCGCCCGTCTCCACTGGCTCCCCTGATACAGAGCATATAATTCAATATTGTGGTCCTCATCTTCAAAGCCCTCCATGGCTTTGCTCCCCCTACCTCTCTGACCTCCTAACCCTACCAACCTGCCTGCTCCCTCCGCTCAGCAGGCTCCAGCCTGCTTTACGTCCCCGTCTCGCCTGCCCCACCATTGGCAGGTAGGCCTTCATCCACTCTGCCCCCACCTCTGGAACTCCATCCCACAGTTGCTCTGCCTCACCCCCACCCCCCCCCGTCTCAAGATTCTTGTCTTCGACCGTGCCTTCAGTCACCCTCCTTCCCCACCCCGCCCTCCCTCCACCCTCCCCGATCCCCAACTTGGGTCCGAAACATCGATTGTCCAGCGCCTTGGGACATTCTCCCGACGTGAAAGGCGTATGCAAATGTAAAGTTGATGTTGTTGTTGTTGCCCGGGAATGGAACCCATGTCCTCTCGCTTGCAAGGAGAGTGCTCTAACCACTGTGCCACAGTAGTTTTAATGAAGTGGGCACCGTGAATCATTTTCACAATTTCATGCAAGATTACATTTCCAGAAATATTGTATTATTGATGAGGTGGTTTAACGCTTCTAATCCTTTTTTGTATGTTTTAGGGTTCAGGGGCACGGGTTGAGCAAGACGCTGCTAGTGTGATGAGCTGTAGTAGTTCTTACTCAGTTCCTCGAAGACTGACAAGTCACCTGGGTACCAAGGTAACCGAAGATTCCAGACTACAGGTCGCTACACTGCATTTTTTCTAATACATCAATTTTAACAGTGCTTTGGCTGCTTTATCAGTATGTTTTGCTGTTATTAACAAATGCATGTAATGTTCCTTACTGTGTCCTTTTGAGTATTTTTAAAATGGTGCTTTATGTAATGATTGACAATCATTGAATATGTCGACAGAAGTTAAAGATCACAGTAAGGACTATACAGTATTTTAATCTAATTGTGTCAGAAATCTGAAAGAATTCTAGCAAAAGTTAAGGGCCCCAATTTGCTGATCTCGCAGCAGAATAATTTTCCTGAACGCATAAAAGTATTTAATAATTCATTCTTACATGATGAAAATTCAAAATGCAAAATACTATTTTGAATAACGAAGGGAAAGGTGAGCAATTCTCAAGAGTTCTGACGATGATCCAGATGTTATAATTTATTTCTTCATGTTACTACTAATTCTAATCTCATCTACAAAAGTAGCTTTGCTTGCTTTGCTGTAGCTAGTTTTCTGCTCTTTGAACATGGATTTGTTTGCTAAAGCTATGATTCTAATGTGACTTTATTTTAAATTTGAACTCGGTCGTGCTGCTGAATGGGTAATAAATTAGCAACGGGATCAGTAAATAGGATTAAATAACTGAATAGACAAGTGACGATATCCATGTATGCTTGTTAAACTTTAAAATTGGCTTTCTGTAATGATTTGCAGTGAATTTTTAGCTGTTGCACACAATTCTTACCAGAGTGATCTAGTAATATACCACCGTCACTCTGCAATGCTGAGAAGCACAGGCTCAGCAGTCAACGAAGATTGATTCCTCATAGTCAGCATTGCTCTGCTGTCTTGTCAGGGGGCACAATAGATTGGAGCACCCTGTGGTGCTGGAACGCTTCATCTCGAGGGAGAGGAACAACTAGTGGGGCCAAGCCCACCACACTGAAGCATACCTCCCTGTCAGCTTGTCATGAAAGCATATCAGTGGAGGTCTGTGATGAAATCTGTGGCTCAAATTATCTTACCGAGACTGAAGGAAGAGGCAGTGATTGTGGAAAATCCAGTTTCTAAACCTTGGTTTTCTTTTTGACAAAAAAGTAAAATACACTATTAGATTTTGTTATTTAATCCATTTGCTGGGTTACAGGATTTGCTGATAATTTTGATTTTTGAAGTGTATAAAAGTCTGAATTAAATTGCATTTCTAAAATATGTGTCACTGGTAGAGCCAGTCACTGAATTGTGAATAGAAAACCAGATTATTGCCTCTATGGCTGGGGTTATGCTATACAAAATATAAGCATTCTACGTTACCCTAACCTGCTGATTCCCAAGTAAGTTACTTTTGAATTCTTGCTTGATTTTACTGACAAGCAACATACTGTTTAGATCCTACCTGTCCACTCCCTCCGCTCAGCGGGCTCCAGTTTACTCCACATCCCCCATCTGGCCCGCTCCACCATCGGTGGCCAGGCCTTCAGCCTTTCTGCCCCCACCCTATGGAACTCCATCCCACATTCCCTTCGCCTCGCTCTCTCCCTTGCCTCTTTCAAGGCTCATCTCAAAACCTCCTCTTCGACCAAGCCTTAGTCCACCCTCCATCCTCCCCGAACCCGACCCCCAGCTCGGGTCAAAATCCCTGACTGTCCAGCGCCTTGGGACATCCTCCCATTGTGAAAGTCGCTATACAAATGTAATTTTGTATTGTATCTGTTAATAACAAAATGGATTAATTGTATTATCTCAAATTTGTGAGTCATTTGGCTCATACATCATATTGTGTAATCTAAGTGATCATAGCCAGAGAAATAGTTGTGCAGTACTTTATAGTATTTCCTAATGAAGCAGAGAAAGCTCTTGACAAAAATCAATGAATTGATCCCATTTGAGTGGATATGAACCTTTTGATCGTGTCTAATTGCATTGTCGTCCTTCTATTGGAGTATTGAGTGTACGGATAAATGTAATACTATTGATCAAAGCCAGTTGAACTAGTGGGAATTGTTGTATCCAATGTCCTGCTGCGTGCAGGTGGTAAGTATCATTGCCAACACAAATTATTACCAGAAAATGTTCATAAATTCAATGCAGCTCAAAAGATTTGAAACAAAAACTCTTGTGTTATGTTCTTTACATGAAATGCTCAGTAGTTTGATTTAATTTCAGCCTGTGCTATTGTTAACCTTGTTTCTTAGACAGAATTTAACCTGTTTGGTTCACTTGGGCCATAGGTGGAAATGGTATACTCGCTGCTATCGATGCTTGGTACACACGACAAGGATGATATGTCACGAACTTTGCTAGCAATGTCTAGTTCTCAGGACAGCTGTATAGCTATGCGTCAGTCTGGTTGTCTTCCGCTGCTCATACAGCTTTTGCACGGCAATGATAAAGACTCTGTGCTGCTGGGCAATTCACGTGGTAGCAAGGAGGCCCGTGCAAGGGCCAGTGCTGCACTACACAATATCATCCATTCGCAGCCAGACGACAAGCGCGGCAGACGGGAGACCCGTGTTCTTCACCTATTAGAACAAATCCGTGCTTATTGTGAGACGTGTTGGGAATGGCAGGAGGCACACGAACGTGGTGTGGACCAAGACAAAAATCCAAGTACGACTTTTTTGGGGGTATCATTGCATTTTTGTATTTAAAATAAACTATTTTAAAAGAATGAACTATAGGCTTGTCTAACAGCTCGGTGAGCTGAATTCAGTGATCAGTTGAGCCTTTCAGACCAAAATGGTCAAGTTCATTTCCAGTCAGTGCTGTGAGGTGATTTAAACCAGATTGGTTTGGATATGGGTGATTCAATTGGCTTGAAAGCCCTGTGCTTGTGAAGGCAAAATCAGCCAGGGTTTCTGATTGCAATGATCATGCATCAACCCTGGCTGGAGAGTCTTTCTCTCTTCCTCTCTGTAAGTCAGTCTGTGTTCATGTGTGTGTCTGTATGTAGGTAGGTAGGGTAATCGTTGCAAAGCAATTTTACAGCAGGCTCCATCCTCTTCATTGTCATGAGATGAGGAAATAGGGAAAAGACCAGATTAGTGAAATCTCACAAGATCACAGTTTGCTTGGATGAAGAAGGTCCTTTGGCCATCTGATCTCATCCATCCAGAATAGCCACCCTATCGTCCTCCCATCATAGCACCAAACTGCTTTCATAATTAATCCAGTGTCCTGGCCTCAACTACTCTTCCAGTCAACCTGTTCCAGTTGTAATTACCCGTGAGGGAAAGAAAACTTACTGGTATCTGTCCTGAAATTGGCCTTTGCAACTCTAAACTAAACTCTAAACCTAGGTGTACTGTCTTGGTGCTTCCTCAAATTCTGTTCTGGGTCAACTCCTTAGCTTGTCTAATCTTTGCTCATTCCTCTGACTGGAGATCATCCTTGTTACGCTGCACTATCTCGAAAGCCTGCGCAGCCCTGTTATGTCGTAGTAAAGAGAACTGTATGTAGTTCTCTAGGTGTGGTCTGACCAGATCGCGACGAGCAATGAGGCAGAAAACGTAGATGTGACTATAATATAATAAGCTTTTGTTAAGTTTGGTAAGAGTAATGATACAAGTTACTTTTATTATTGCCAAGTAGTGCATTCATTTGATTAATATTTATTAGCCAGAGTGAAGTTGATCTATTTTAGAGTTCAGTAAAATGTGTGTGTTTAGGGGTGGGAATATAATACTGAAAAAAAAATTTGTATAAACCTAGACCTTAGTTGACAGAATCCATGGTAGCACAAGTACACAATCTGAATTGAATCCTGTTTATTTATATGTGCATTATATTGATATAGTGCCATCTCCAGTAGAACACCAGATATGTCCTGCAGTGTGTGTACTTATGAAGCTTTCCTTCGAAGAAGAACACAGGCATGCAATGAATGAACTAGGTAAGATAATGTCAACATTTGTTTCCCTCGTTTCATGTAATCAAAAACAACCTGCACCAAATATTAAAATTCCTGATGTTTTGTTTCAGAGTTTGGGAGAAAAGAGATTTGTAGCCTCCTGTCGGACTCCTATTTAAGGGACATCAATTTAATTTCTTGTCTTAATTGATTTTGAAATCGCATACAGCCCTATTGAATGAATTTTGCCAGGTTGTTCAATAGAGACGACAACAACAACAAAATTACATTTATAGAGCACCTTTCATGTCGGGAGGACGTCCCAAAGCGCTGAACAGTCAGGTGTCGGGACCCGAGCATGGGGGAGTGGTGGTGTAGGGGTGAGGGAAGGCAGAGAGGTGGGAGGGCGACCGAAGGCATGATTGAAAAGAAGGGTCTTGAGACCGACCTTGAGGGAGGCAAGGGAGGAAGCGAGGAGAAGGGACCGTGGGATGGAGTTCCAGAGGGTGGGGGCAGAGAGGCTGAAAGCCCGACCACTGATGGTAGGGCGGGTTGGGTAGGAGACATGGAGCAGACCAGAGTCGGCTGAATGGAGGGAGCAGGCAGGTTGGTAGGGAGTCAGCAGGTCAGAGAAGTAGGAGGGGGCAAGGTCATGGATGGCCTTGAAAGTGAGGACGAGGATCTTGAACTCGATCCTCTGGGGAATGGGGAGCCGGTTGAGTCGGGCGAGGGTGGGAGTGATGGGGTCGCGGAGCCTGGTGTGTGAGAGTACATGAGCTGCAGAGTTTTGGATGATCTGCAGCTTGTGAAGGGAAGAGTTTTGAAGGCCGATGAGGAGGGAGTTCCAGTAATCGAGCCTTGAGCTGACAAATGCGTGGGTGAGGGTTTTGGCAGCCTGAGAGGTGAGGCAGTGGCAGAGTCTGGCAATCATTCAGTGGCAGACTGCTGCAGTGACTTAAGAGAAAAGTGTGAAAAATGATCAGTCCTGCTCCACCAGAATGCATCAACGACAACAACAACTTGCACTTATATATCGCCCTCCACATAGGGCAGCGTCTCCGAGTGCTTAACAATGGCAGAGCCTGACTCAGAATGGGGGGGTGGTGGTAGGTGACCTTAAGCACAGTCGAAGAGGAAGGTTTTCAGCAGGACTTGAAAAGGGGGAGAGAGGGGGCAAGGCAGGGGGTTTGAGGGAAAGTGTTCCAGAGTTTCGGGGCACAGTGGCTGAAAGCGCGTCCTCCGATGGCAGGCCGGAGGGTGTGAGGGACGAGCAGAAGGCCGGTGCCAGTCAGCGGAGGCGGTGGATTGGGGAGTGAGGAGGTCGGAGAGGTAGGGAGGTGCCAGAGAGTGAATGGATTTGAACACGAGTGTGGGGATCTTGAAGTCGATCCCTTTGGTGATGGGGAGCCAGTGGAGCCTGGCCAGAACTGGTGAGATGTGGGTACGGAGTTTGGTCCCAGTCAGTATGCAGGCAGTAGCGTTCTGAATGAGCTGGAGTTTTTGAATAGTGGCACTGGGGAGACCTGCGAGGTGTGCTTTGTGTAACCCAGGTGAGCGGTACAGGGACTGGATGTGGGGAAGGAAGGATAGCTGTGGGTCGAACCGAATGCACCTTATGTTAGCTGTTTTATGTTGTGTAAACAAGACTGATAGAGGCAGCTGTGTCCTCGATCGACTGTGACTCAAAGTTGCAGCTGTAGAGAACATTAATGGTTGAACCATTAATTGGGGAATGGGGGAATAAAATAATGTAAGCAATAAGAGTGGAGTGGGCAGTATTTGTCTGATTTGGAAATCTATAGTCATCAGTTGTTTGGTATATTATAATAAAGCTGTAGCTCACCTTGTTCTCTTGCTGTTTGCTTATATATTTCTTCCAGGAAAGAGAGTAGAGTAAAAAGTTTAATTTGTAATGCCTATTATCTAAATTTGATATAAATCTATTGTGGTTTCTAAGACGGAAGGCCATGATCTTGTCTTGCAGAGCATTTTATCCGATCAGGTTGCACCAGCTGAGCCCAGCACAGAAAATCTACTGCAATTACTAATTCTGACCTCCTTTGTCCTTGGTACTGCCAACATGTTAGAAGGGGAAACATCAATAAGCTTTTAGATGCAATTAAATAAATTGTTTCTAAAATATGAGAAAATAGTTTTAAACTTGAAATGTAAAGTATAGATAGAATCTGTTGTCCTTCACAATATGTTATTAAAGTTATTTGGTCAGACTCTCAGGATGATTGATATATAGATGTATATTATATCAAATCACTCTGGCCCTCTATGCCCATATCCTTTAGCTTTCCTTCGAAATATTGTTTGTCACTGCAATATCTGCACTGCAGTCCTCATATGTACTGAAAATGATTTGTTGTAAATCTATTGTTTAATCAGGTTTGTGATTTGAACATTATACAGCAATGGTCTTAAATAAATACAAAATTAGGGGATTAATGTTTCAAACCAAAGCTAAATTTTAAAATATCTTTCATGTTATTTCTGATATTTCTAATTGGAAATAGCTTTATGAAAACTCTGTTTTAACCATAGACATTCTCATTCCCAGGTGGTTTACAGGCTATAGCTGAATTGTTGCAAGTGGATTGTGAAATGTATGGACTCACCAGTGACCACTACAGTGTCACATTGCGCCGCTATGCAGGAATGGCACTTACAAATTTAACCTTTGGGGATGTTGCAAATAAGGTGGGTCAATTTATCACAATGTAATTTCAAATTATCATGATTGATACACTCAGGTTGAGAACGTGTTTTTTTAAAAAAAACTATCACAGAAGTTGTAGTTAAATCAAACTCATTCATGTGGAATGGCATGCTAGTATAGTAATGTAAGGTGGGTTGAATTTGTGGCCATTATTGGTCAATTGCAGGGAAATTATTTAGTTATCTTGTTTTGACAATTTCACATTAATCAAAGTAAAGTTCAACAAAGTGCCAGAATTGCTTATGTAATGTTTTTTTCTTGACAGGCTACACTCTGTTCTATGAAGGGCTGCATGAGAGCAATGGTAGCTCAACTTAAATCGGAAAGTGAAGATCTACAACAGGTAAAAAGATGTATAAACACTTTAGTATTTTAGTTTAATCATTGGCAGGTCACTTTATTTCTCTAAACTGTGTACAGTTCCTATCTTCGGCATGTGCAATTCTGAAAATCAACTGTTCCATTAATTTCTCTGAAAATAAGCATGATAAACTTAAAAGCATTTGAAGTCGTCTATCTTTTCTAAGTACATGAAGCAACCAAACATTATTTGATGAATATATCTTTCTGAAAAATAGGCTTTTTAAAAAAAACTAAATGGCATAAATAAAGGTTGAGAGCATTAGCAATATAACCTGCCTCTTATTTATAAGACAAGATATAGAACTTCCATTTAATGTGATTCAGTATGAACTATTGAATTGGAGACAGACATTTATTTTAGCATGGGAAGACAGTGGTACAAGCAGATTTATTGAAGTTTATTCTCGCATTTTGGACTGTTGTTTGATTGACCAGCCTGTGTGACATCAAGTCCTGGGTGAGCCATAACTGAATTGTAGCTGAACTTTTAACAACGCTGAGGTGAACCTGGTGGTTTCTCCTTGTCATCTGCTTGTTTCTATTCTATTTCCTTCAACCTCTCTGCTCGCTCAAGCTGGACCAGATGTGCTGCTTAACCCTGAGATGGGTTTTAAACATCTGGTTCTTTGCCAAGACCTACACTTGTAGTTTGCTTACCCACTTACTACCCCACCACTCCAATGCACACCTTCATTCATACCTTAATTCATACCTGTGAAGTCCTGTAGCTCAGTGATTAGAGCACTCGCTTTGCAAGCGAGAGAACTGAGTTCAATTCCAGGCAGAGGGCGAAACCTTGGGCAAGTTTCCTTACTCCACACGCCTAATAATAATCCCTCCAAATAAAAACCAAAAACAATAATTAAATTGGTCATTTTCAATCTACGACTGTTTGTGGGACATTGCTGTGCGTAATTGGCTGCCGCGTTCGCCCACAAATATACAGTCAATTCACTTTACAGTGTTCTGTGAAGCGCTTTGGGACGTCCTCCCGACGTGAAAAGTGCTATATCAAATGCAAGTATTATTATTATTATTATTATTAAGGATCAATTTTTTTTCGAATATTTTTCTCACTGGCTTCCCTATTAAACTCTCCAGGAGCTTCGACTGATCAAGAGCTTGAGAGCCTGAGTTCTCTCCTGCACACTCATTATCCCCACTCTCATCAAGCTCCATTCGCTACCAGAAACTCATTGGGTTTAAGATTATTGTCCAATCCATGTAATGGCCCTCAATTCCTTCCAGTCCTGGCCCGTTCAAGGCTTTTCCTTCTGACTCTGGTGATAATTCGCTTCACTATTAGTAGCCAAGCCTTCAGCAATTATGCCCCTGTCATCTAGAAATCTGTTCCAAAATCACATCCATCTCCTTCTAAAACCTAGGTATGATTAACATCTTTAAATTCTTCATTTCATTGTTATTGTTATTATTATGCAGTGAAGAACCAAGGTTTAGGCATAAGCCCATTTTCTTGCAAACCAGTTCATTGCACAATTAGCGTAAATAACGCAAATTTCTGCGACCGAGAACTATTGCTTTCGGAGGAGGAAATGATAATGCATCGTTGGTGTCCAGGGCTTCATAGTGGCAAACTATGCAGTTTTAACTGGTTGACCTCCAGCGGTCCAGCAAATGTGCATTTTAGGGTCCAAATGTTGGCTATTATTGACCACCTTCCTTGAGTCTCAGAGCATCTTATGTAGCGCTGAAATCCCTTTGGATTGATCAGAAAATCCTCAGCTCATCATCTTATACAATCCATGTGCCAGACCAGAACCTTTACAATAGTGAGTTTGCATAATCACTTGTATGCTACAACTGCGAGAAAGAGTTAATCTATAAAGACTAATTTATAAGATAAATGGAAAATAAGTTAAACTTGTCAGGGAAAGCACTGGAGTGCTGCCTATTTACTGAATTATTGATCTGTTCCAGGTCATTGCCAGTGTATTGAGAAACTTATCATGGCGAGCAGATGTGAACAGTAAAAAGATCTTGCGTGAAGTTGGAAGTGTGAGCGCCTTAATGGAATGTGCACTCGATGTGAAAAAGGTAGGGAACAATCTCCCTTCACTGACAGTGAAAATTACAGCTCTACTCAGTCAAGCATATTTATAAAATGTGTTCTGGAAACATTTTGACTTTTTCCTGCCATATGCTATTTTATCCTCTTGAAGTTTAAATTGGGTTTGATATTAAAAAAATCTGAAGAATAATTATTTCCTCGTGTTTGTAATGTTTCAGAGGGATAATTGTCTGTCAATAGAATTGTTTTACTCATTTTGTACCCATGTGACATGCCACTCAAAATTATTAACACGTATGAGAAAGAATTGTATGTTTATTCACTGTTTTTAATTAAGACTTCTTTTGAGCTGTATAGATACAGTATTTATCAAATGTAAATTTTATAAAATTTCTAAAATATATTTTAAAAATTCTTTGAGAGAAAATAAGGAAAGTTCAATTTAAAAATCTCATATTAACCAAATGTTCATAATTTGGAAGCTATTCTGAAATATTTCCAATACAATTTATAGTAACAATTTCTAGTGTAGAACATTAATTTTTGTCCCCCTCAATTCTATTGAAGGAATCAACTCTAAAGAGTGTTCTAAGTGCTCTGTGGAATTTATCTGCACATTGTACTGAAAATAAGGCTGACATTTGTGCTGTCGATGGTGCCCTTGCCTTCTTAGTAGGCACTTTAACTTACAGAAGCCAAACCAATACACTGGCCATCATTGAAAGTGGAGGTGGTATTCTACGCAATGTTTCCAGTCTGATTGCTACAAATGAAGATCACAGGTACGTGCAATAGTTTGATTTGAAAAAAATACTATTACTTTGTGAAAATAGTTCTGCTCAAGTTGCATTCCTTTGAATTTTGGAAAGAAATGCCTTTTCTGAAATCTTAAATATATCCCGCAGTGGAATAGGTCGTTTACCTCTGCTACACCAATGGCACCTACCAATTTTAACATATGGACTTGCTTACAATACCCTAGTCATTCATTCTTAGAAACAAATTGTTCTTGAATGTACCTTTCTTCCAATGCTATCAGGGTATGGAGATAATAATAATAATCCTTGCATTTGATATAGCACCTTATTACGTCATTGAGACATCTCAAAAGCGCTTCACAGAGTATATTGTAAAGTGGATTGATTGTGTATTTTGTGTAAAATGCTTGCATTCTTGAATTAAGACCGTACTACGATCATATTTTTAGTCGGGAAAATTGTCTGTTAATTTAAAATAGCTCAAAAATTTTAACACTGGTAAATTATCATCCACCCCTACTCTTCCCAAAGTGGCACCTTGAAGGTCAAATGCCAACGTGTTAAATTTGAGTCCTTACTTTGCTGTTGTTAATACTGAACAGTGAGCTAAAAAAAATCTTAAAATCCAATGCCTTTTGGGACTGATGGGTTAAGTGAGATGACTGTTCTCTACTGAGGATTCCACCTTGGTTATTTAATACACTGCTATTTACCCTCTAATGCTTCCAATATTGTTATTTATAGCAAAACATTTTCATCTAGCCAAATGCCTTTGTTCCTTTTTCCATGGAGTCACAAAGATCAAGCCCAGATAATCGGACAGAACTAGTCGTATACTTTACTGCTGTTCTCTTTCATTGACAGTTCTTAATATATTAAGAATTGCACTTAGATTAAATGTTATTAATCATCTATTTGTGAACCCTTTTTTAACAATTGTATGAATAAGATTTGTTTAAAAAAAACCATTTCATATCTTTAAGTCCCCCCCAAAAACAACTTGGATCATGTATTTAAACTGAAACACCTATTACCTAACCATGGCATATAAATATATGAATAAACATTGTGGTTTCCTCATTGTGACCAATGATAATGTTCGTGTAATTGGGGAGAATATGAACAGTAATAAATTACTTCGAAATATTGGTTAACTGAATTTGGCAAATGTAATCCATGTATGCATGCAAGCGTAATCCATATAAAGTTGCCGTATTTTTAACGATTTGATTTGAAAATTTTTTTCTAAATGGCTGCCTTTCTCCTGCAGGCAAATCTTGCGTGAAAATAACTGCTTACAGACATTGCTACAGCACTTAAAGTCCCATAGCCTGACTATTGTCAGTAATGCATGTGGAACCCTTTGGAATCTCTCTGCTAGAAATGCCAAGGACCAGGAGGCTTTGTGGGACATGGGAGCAGTTAGTATGCTCAAAAATCTAATTCATTCTAAACATAAAATGATTGCAATGGGAAGTGCTGCAGCTTTGAGAAACCTAATGGCCAACAGACCTGCTAAGTATAAAGATGCCAACATCATGTCTCCAGGATCGAGCCTACCATCTCTACATGTTAGGAAACAGAAAGCACTGGAAGCAGAATTGGATGCTCAACAGCTATCGGAGACTTTTGATAATATTGATAATTTGAGCCCCAAAACATCACATCGCAGTAAACCAAGACACAAACCAGGCCGGTTCAGTGAGTATGTTTTGGATTCTGGAAGGCACAATGATGATGGGGTATGCAGGTCTGAGAGCTTCAACACTGGAAATGTGACTGTGTTGTCGCCATATATGACTTCGTCCTCAAGAGATGGCAGGGGCAGTGTAGAAGGCTTCAGAGCAGAAAAAGACCGAAGTGCTGAAAGAGATCGAAGAGGAACTGATACCTTTCATTCATCTGATATTGTGTCCGATCCTTCTAAAAGAATTGGAAGACAGATGACTACCAGTGTAGCTCAAATAGCCAAGGTCATAGAAGAGGTATCAAATATGCATTTATCCTCTGAGGATAGAAGCTCCGGATCTGCTTCCGACCTGCACTGTGTGTCAGAGGACAGGACCGGTCTAAGGCGAGCGTCGTCCTCTCACCCCCATTCTAATATTTTTAATTATAATAAACCTGAAAACCCCAACAGAACCTGCTCCATGCCTTATGGAAAAAACGAGTACAAGCGGTCATCAAATGATAGTTTGAATAGCGTTAGCAGCAGTGATGGGTATGGTAAGAGGGGGCAGATGAAACCATCGATTGAATCTTATTCAGAGGATGATGAAAGTAAGTTCTGCAATTATGGAAAATATCCAGCAGATCTCGCCCACAAAATTCACAATGCGAATCATCTGGATGACAACGATGCTGAGCTAGACACGCCAATTAACTACAGTCTCAAATACTCAGATGAACAACTAAATTCCGGCCGGCAGAGCCCATCACAGAATGAACAATGGGCACGACCAAAGCATATTGTAGAGGAAGAGATGAAAAGGAATGAACACAAACAGTCGAGGAAACCGAGCTCCGGCTATTCCATGTTTTGTGAAAGTGGCTGCAGTGCAGAGGAATCTCGCATCAAATTCCAGCCTCGGTTTAGCCAGTCAGACTGCTCCTCTTATAGCGCCAGGGTGCACAACAACTCCGAGCCGATCCGGGTGGATTCTGAGCACAGAATGAACCAGTCTATTTGCCAGGTGGATGATTATGAAGATGAGAAGCCAACCAATTACAGCGAGCGTTACTCTGAAGAAGAGCAGGCTGATGAGGACAGGCCCACAAACTACAGTATGAAGTTTACAGAAGAGGAGCACCATGTTGAACAGCCCATCGACTACAGTTTGAAGTACTCCTCAGAAATTCCTCCCTCTTCACAGAACCAGGCTTTCATGTATTCGAAAGGCTCTTCAGCTCAAAGCACAACAAAGGATCACACAGGATCCAGTTGTGCCAGCACACCAAGCTCCAAAATCAGCAAATCTAGTCAGCAAAACTGCCTGCACCCCAGTTCTGCACATTCTAGAGCTGCCCCTAACCCCGCGGGACAGAAATCGTCGGCTTGTAAGACTCCTTTAATTAACCAAGAAACTATGCAGACCTATTGTGTAGAGGACACACCTATTTGCTTTTCAAGATGTAGTTCACTATCTTCACTGTCTTCAGAGGATGAAATGGAAGGTCGTGGTCAAGCTAAGCGTGTATCAGATGATGGAACCACTCTGCAGATCATTGACCTTAAGGAAAATCGTGCGGCATTACCCAATGAAACAGGTATAAGTGAGACATCCTCTGCCTCCCATCACCAACGAATGAAACAAAATCGGCTGCATGCCACCAATGTGTCTCAGCCTGACATGTCCAGGCAGAAAGCTGTCGAGTTCTCTTCAGGTGCCAAATCACCATCTAAAAGTGGAGCTCAGACTCCGAAGAGCCCACCAGATCACTATGTGCAAGAAACTCCTCTGGTCTTCAGTAGATGCAGTTCAGTCAGTTCACTGGGCAGTTTTGAGAGCCAGTCAATTGCCAGTTCTATTCAGAGTGAACCCTGCAGTGAAATGGTTAGCGGTGTCATAAGTCCAAGTGATCTTCCAGACAGCCCAGGCCAACGATGCCTCCGAGCAGAAGTAAAACCCCACCACCCCAACCGACTCAGCTAAAAAGAGAAGTGCATAAAAGCAAGGAACAGAGTAACGTTAAAAGCAGAGAGACGGGTCACAGGCAAGAGGCTGTGAATGCAGCTGTTCAAAGAGTCCAGCTTCCTCAGGACAGTGATATATTGATGCATTTTGCCACAGAAAACACGCCAGATGGTGTTTCTTGTGCATCCAGCTTGAGTGCTCTTAGTCTTGATGAGCCGTTTATTCAGAAAGATCTTGAACTCCGAGTTATGCCTCCTGTATATGAAGACGAACAAAGAAACGATGAACCTGATAAGGAGGAAGATACAAGTGAGAAAATTAAATGCAAAGTAGAAAAAGCTGGTGAACCTGAGAAGGACATGTTGGAAGATGACGATGACGATGATGATATTGAAATCTTGGAACAGTGTATTATTTCAGCCATGCCAACAAAATCTTCAAGTAAAGCAAAGAAATCTGCTGGCAATGCACCACGGTTACCCCCTCCTGTGGCAAGGAAACCGAGTCAGTTGCCTGTGTACAAACTTCTCTCCAATCAAAATAGAATCCATTCTCAAAAGCACGTCAGCTTCAACCATGATCTATTTCGGGAAGATATGCCCCGAGTGTATTGTGTTGAAGGAACTCCCATAAACTTTTCGACAGCTACGTCACTAAGTGATCTCACGATCGAGTCACCCCCAAATGAATTGGCAAATTCAGAAGGAACTCGTTCTGCAATAATGGAAAAGAGAGATACCATCCCAACTGAGGGGAGGAGCATGGACGATGCTGAGGCAGCAAAAGGATATGCTGGTCCTCAGTCAGGGCAAGATGATGATAAAACTGAGGAAGGTGACATTCTAGCTGAATGTATAAACTCTGCTATGCCAAAAGGAAAGAGCCATAAACCCTACAGAGTTAAGAAAATAATGAATCAGGTGCAGCTGCCGTCAGCGTCTCCTGTCAATCATGCAAGTCAGCAAGAGGCGGAGAAAAGGAAACCGACCTCTCCAGTGAAACCAATGCCCAAGAACAGTGAGTATAAGACCAGGTCAATGGAACAAAGTGTGTCTGATCTTCCAAGTAGTTTTTCTGCAGAAGGCAGCAACTCAGAAAAGAAGAAAGATATGGAAAAGTGTAGCAAACTGCAACCCACAAAAGGTTCTCGTGGGGATTTTCATGATAAACCACAGAGTAACGATAACCGTGTACGTGGTGGGTTTGTGTTCGACTCCCCACATCATTATACTCCAATTGAGGGAACTCCATATTGTTTTTCACGAAATGATTCCCTGAGCTCACTCGACTTTGATGATGATGACACGGATCTCACAAAAGAGAAAGCCGAGCTGAAGAAAGAGAAAGACAGAAAAGATAAGTATGCCGCTGGTGATGTAAAGAATTGTCACAATGAACAGCGCCCCAATAGTCAGCTCCCCGCTGGAAGGCAACAACCAGGTCACAAGTCCTTGCTGGCCCGAGGACCGTCAAAGTTACAAAAACAGGCGGTTTTCTCTCAAACGGCAAAAGATATGAGTGTCAGAGATACTGTTACAGACGAGAAAATGCAAAATTTTGCGATTGAAGACACACCTGTCTGCTTTTCCCGCAATTCCTCGCTTAGCTCTCTCAGTGATATTGACCAGGAGAACAATAATAAAAAATCACCGGCTCAGCCTGAACAGGGAGAACCAGTGCCTGTAAATAGAGCCCAGGGTTCCGGTTATGCTCCCAAATCATTTCACGTGGAAGACACACCAGTGTGCTTTTCTCGAAACAGCTCCCTCAGCTCTCTCAGCATCGACTCTGAGGATGATCTTCTACAGGAGTGTATCACTTCAGCCATGCCCAAAAAGAAAAAACTCTTTGCAAAAGGTAAGAGTAAACGTGAAAATGCAGCTAATAGTGGCAGTTTGGGTGGTGAGGACACCGATGAGGGGATGAGTATGAGAGAACAAGGGCATAGCCCTATTCCAGAACAGGCTTTCTCTCCGGATTCCGAAAGCTTTGACTGGAAAGCCATTCAAGAGGGCGCTAACTCTATAGTTAGTAGTTTGCACCAGGCTGCTGCTTGCCTGTCAAGACAAGGTTCTTCTGATTCTGATTCCATCCTGTCTCTTAAATCTGGTATCTCCCTAGGATCGCCCTTTCACCTTACACCTGACCAGGAGGAAAAGCCCTTCACTTCTAATAAGGGCCCTAAAATTGTAAAACCGGGAGAGAAAAACACAAGTGACAACAGAAAGAATGAAGAAGAAAATGTAAAAGCTATTCGAGGAGGTAAAAAAGTATATAAAAGTTTGATTACTGGGAAAGCCCGTTCCAATGTTGAGTCTTCTAGTCTGGCTAAACACCACCAACAGACAAACATGCCCATGATCTCACGTGGAAGGACCATGATTCACATACCAGGTGTAAGGAACAGCTCACCCAGCACCAGCCCTATTCCAAAGAAGACTCCACCCAAAAATGCAGCCTCTAAAAGTCCAAGCCCAGGACAGAATTCAAGTAATTCACCAAGAGGGATCAAAGGCCCAATCAAACCTGACCCAAGTCCTACAGCCAAGCACACAGGGACTCCGGGAGCATCAAGCAGTAAAGGATCTTCAAGATCAGGATCCAGAGATTCCACACCTTCTAGACCATCCCCACAGTCTTTGTCTAGACCGTTGCAGTCTCCTGGTAGAAGTTCCATCTCTCCAGGAAGAAATGGGATCAGCCCCACTAACAAGATATCACAGCTGCCACGGACGACTTCTCCAGGTTCTGCCTCAGCTAAACCTGGAGGATCAGGTAGAATGACTTACACATCTCCAGGGAGATCGCTGAGCCAGCAGGCCCCATCAAGGCAAACTAATCTAGGAAAGAACACAGCTTCTATCACAAGAAGTGAATCAAGCCCTAAGGGATTCAACCAGGGTGCCAATAACACTGTACCACCTAAGAGAGTGGAACTATCAAGAATGTCTTCAACAAAGTCGAGTGGCAGTGAGTCTGACAGGTCGGAGAGACCCACTTTAATGCGTCAGTCAACTTTTATAAAAGAAGCCCCGAGTCCAACGTTGAGGAGGAAATTAGAGGAATCAACTTCTTTTGAATCTTTATCGCCGCCCTCCAGACCTGCCTCGCCAACCAGACCACAAACCCAGACTCCAGTTTTAAGTCCATCTCAGCATCAAGATATGATGCTAAGTCATTTATCCAACCAAACCAGCAGTTGGAGGAAAGTACCTCCAAATCAGAACCTCACTGCAGAATATTTAGATGGGAGGGCAATGAGGAGGCCTGACATAGCTCGTTCTCATTCTGAAAGTCCTTCGAGGCTTCCTGTGAACAGATCAGGAACATGGAAACGTGAACATAGCAAACATTCCTCATCCCTTCCTCGAGTAAGCACATGGCGAAGAACAGGGAGCTCCTCATCAATTCTGTCAGCTTCTTCAGAATCGAGTGAAAAGGCCAAAAGTGAAGATGAGAAGCCGCATCTCGGAAGTTTTACCCACGGCAATAAACAACCCAAGGAAAGTGCAGTGCCCTTGAGGGGAACCTGGAGAAAAATAAAAGATAATGAAATTCTACAAATGAGCAGCCACCCTCAGAGTTCAGCTGCAAATAGTAATGAATCCAAAAGTTTAGTTTACCAGATGGCTCCTCCTGTGTCAAAGACTGAGGATGTGTGGGTGAGAATTGAAGACTGTCCAATAAACAACCCTCGGCCAGGAAAATCCCCATCAACTAATACACCCCCAGTTATCGATGATTTGCCCGAAATGTCTCCAGATGATGAGGGTTCAGGTGATTCACAGAATAGACAAATGCCAGGACGTGGAACCCCTCCTCGAGCTCCACGAATGGAGCACCGCTTGAATTCATTTCTTCAGACGGATAGTCCCGAGAAGGCAACAGAATTGAAGTCTGCTGTGAACAGTTCTGCTACTTCACCGGAGATCGAGAACAATATCGTCACCGAGCGTACGCCTTTTAGTTCAAACAGCTCAAGCAAGCACAGCTCACCTAGCGGTACCGTAGCTGCCAGAGTTACCCCATTCAACTATATCCCCAGTCCTCGTAAAAGCAGCACCGACAGCAGCGCCTCCAGACCATCACAGATTCCAACCCCTGTAACCAGCACCAAGAAAAAGGAGAACTCTAAACCTGAAAGCACCGAATCAAGTGGAAATCAAAGCCCAAAACGTCATTCTGGATCCTATTTAGTGACTTCTGTTTGAGAGAACTTTGTGATTGTAGGAAACTGATTATTATGTAGGATTTTGGTACAAATGTCTGATATTTGAGATGACTGCTGGTTTTACAATAATTACCTATCAACTTGGATATGTTCTGTAAATATCTCTTACTGTTTTTTTTCTCTCTCTGCAAAAGGGTCTTTGTTCAGGAAGCCATATTTGTTAGAAAACTGTTAATGCTGGTGGAGATGCATTTGGTTATGAGGTTTGAGGTCATTGCAGCTGTCAAAGAAAACCCATTGTACAGTCCGTTTTACATGTATTCTGTATTAAGAGTTCCTGCCATGATCCTTTATGTATTGCTTGGCTTATAACTAAAAAAAACATACTTGGAAATGATTTAGGCAAATCCATTAAAATGTATAATGCTGTACCAATCATGTTTAACAATTTAATAGCAAAAAAAATGGCAGGGAGTTTTAAACTAGATATCTAATTACATCCATGCAAAAAGGTGAATGAAATGAGTATTATTAATATTCCACATTTGTAATTGTGAAGTACCCTAACCTTGTGAAGAATCATGCAGCTGTGAAATTCAGAAATTCACAGACATGATTTCTGCCACAACAGCCTTCCCCAGCCTGCTCTTCTGCATGATCAGATTGGATGGTATGTTGTCCAAAGCAATGACTCAATTCTGTGGTCATATGATGTGCATAGATAGCTACGGTGTATTCATGTACACTGCTGTGTGTGTGTGCGCGCGCTGCAAAGAGAGATTGTCTGTAACCTTGCAGCCTTGGACTGGAGTATTTTCTTTTCTGATCTAGATTTCATCAGAAAGTAGATAGACCCATTGCTATGCTGTAACTTGTTGTATATTGTTATTTGAGGTGAGATGGCTGCTCTTTTATGAATGAGACGGAAATCGTCTCAAAAGAACTAAATGAACATTTCAGAATAAATTATTACTGTATGTATTTTTCTTTGCGTCAGTTGAATGTTTACAAAGTTAATCTCACATGGAAGAAAACTTGTTTTTGGGCTTGTTCATTAAGTTGTCAAATCTGCAGAATTGTGAAGCTCTCACCGGTTTCTGATGCGCAAATTTCCAGACTCTTGTCTTATGAACCTCATTCTCACAAATTCAAAAAACTATGCACATGTGCAACTGACACTGTCAATATCATTCTAGATCTCAGACTACATCTACCCTGGACTTCCAGATCTTTCAAAATGTCCATCGAAGAAATTTATTACAAAAAGCACCAGACTCCTAATCAACCTGATCTGCACTTTTTTTGCTATTTGATCAGACCCAATGGTTTCTTGCAGAATGACAACACCAGAGTGCATTTACCTATACCTAAAATAATTGAGATTAATGATCCTGTTAGTAGCTATTTTAAAGAGGTCAATTTCATCAAATAATGTCCTAAAAATCCCCCACACAATGAGACCATACAGTCCACGGGCTACTGTTCTCATACCCAGTCTCCTGTGGGTGGGGGGTGAAGGTTTGCAGGGTTTCCTTAAGATGCCAACAATGGACTGTTTGAATTCAGACGGCCCACTGTGGTGGTCTCAATAGTCCAGTTCCAAACCATGTGGGTCTGGTTTATTTTCTCAATCCCATTTTAAAATCTTATATGCCTCCATAACTGTCCATTGCAGGAAAAATGCCTGTATTTGAGGGAACTAAAAGGAGAAAAATCACTTTTAGATCATATCTATTTAAAATATACCCAAAGAATATGGCTCAAATCTTTGTAGATATATAATTGTCGGTGAGGACAACCTGTCCATCCAGGCTCTGTAAAGGGTTCTAAAATCTACAGAACTCAGAATATGCTGATGTTAACACGTATTTTATCACTACAGCCTTCTAAGGACGTTGAGGGTGAGTAGGTGCAATACACATGGTTGCATTGAAGTCTTTAGTTCCTCTTCAGTTGCAGTGTTAATTGATCCATTTTCTTGTAGGTAAAATGACCGGTTTCTTCTCTGAGCCTCAATTTTCCAACCTTTCCTGTAAATTGCTCTTGCCATTTGTGAACACCTGCACACCACACCTTGGATGAGATCACAAATACCACATCAGAGTTGAAACCCCTCCTCACCAGCAGTGTACTGAAGACTGGAGTTGAAATTCTTGACATGGGGCTTGAACCCACAACCTTCTCAGGCGAGAATGCTACCAACTGAGCCAAGCTCACACCTAAAGTTCAAAATAATCCAAATGAATAAATATCTCAAAAAATTAGCTTGTTTTCATAAAAGAATATTTGAGAATCCAATCCAGATGATTTCAAGTTAGTTACCCTATTTTAAGACACTGCCCTCTTGTGGTAGATGGATGTCTGAGTTAGCAATAGGTTTACAGTAAATTCACTCACTGTAAATAAGACTCAAGAAAGAAACAAAAAACAATACACTATTAATATAGGGTTCTGTGCTTTATGCTGCATTAAAACTGCTTTTGAATTTTGAATTTTTTTTTACCTATTGTCTGCATTCATTCATAATGGTTTGCTTATATAATACGCAAACATTTGCAGATATTTGACGAGCTGGAAGTCCAAAGCCCAGTTTCATGGATGTTACTATTTGAGAACAGCGTCAGGGAGGTTAACCTATCAAACATGTGATGTGATAATATCAAATGCAATTTAACTCCAGTGTGGTTGAAAGTCTATATTTTTGCACTTCAGGACATGACACAACAAAGCCTATTTATGATAATCTCACTACTAATAAGAGTTTGAACCAGATTCATGTGATCTTGCTTCACTGGGACAACTTCAATTCTTTGTGTCATGCTATAAAAATCAAAAGCAAATGAATCTCCACTGGGTGAGACATTACACTGTGAAAACTATATCACAACTTTTATAAAGGAAGCTCACCAATTATAAAATGAAAGTTTCAGTTTTTGTGCATTCAAATGTTATGCAAATTTTATGGCTAACGGGGCTAATAATGGGTCACATTGTTAAATCACATTTGATTAGATAATAACAAAATAGCCTTCATTATCAATATTAACATACTTTAACCATTCGAAGATGAATATGTATTTTTGGGAAATCCACAGTGGCAAAACTTAAGGAGAAAAAAGGATTAACTGAATCTCCTCGGGCACATATTCCACTTGGTGCTTCCGTAAAAAAAATAATAATCTTCAAACCTGATGGTGGCAGACAGAGGAGGTGACTACTGCAGAGCAGTCAACATTGGGAAATCCTGAGTGTGAGAGTTTGGGTTATGAGCCACAGGGTTTGTCTTGTAGCAGAAGCAGAAACTCGTCACAGGGAAAGTTCATTTTTGTTTTCATCAGAGCTTATTTGGGCTCAGTTGGCTCCAAGGTGACATGCCTGGCGATGGAGCGTCAAAATCGAAAGTCCGCTGTGGTGGTCTCTGTAGACCGGTTCCTGAGCCAAGCGGGTCCACAGTATTCCAGAGCACTGCTGGTGACAGCACAGCCAGTCTGGCTCATCAGCAGGACCTGGAAGGGCAGTCCAGTCACTGGGGCAGGGAGTCATCGCACTCAACTCCTGTTAACCCTATAGCCCAAAGCTCTAAAGGGTAGGGTAGTCCTAGCGGGACAAGCAGCGGGAAAGCTTGCCAGACAGCAAAATCAATGGCAAGCTATGCGGCTTTAGCTGGTTAGACTCCAGGAGTACCCCAACACACTCTCTGAGGTCACCACAAAGGTGTGTGTAAAACTCTGCTGATTCAGGTGAGCGGGTGGTGCTCTTCGGGCAGAGACCGTACATTCCATTCCAACCCACTGGGATTCCCGGATGGAGGTGGGACACAGGAAAAGCTCAGCTCGGTTTGGATGCGGTTAAACATGGTGACGTGTCAGACACCCGGCTGAGGGGGTGGGAACTAAACGCTGACACCACTCGTTCCTCTGGGGACGGTATTGCGGGCGACACACGAGTGAAGCGGCGGAGAGACCGGAAGGTGTCGTGGCGTTTCCAGAACGGAAGTTGCGTTCAACAAAGGTGTCTCGGGGATGGTCGGTATCGACCAATCAGGTGCGGGTTAGAGGCGGGACATCCTGTCCCGGTGGCTGTGCGGGAGGGGGCGGGGCCGGGCGGGCGGGCGGGCGGGCGGGGCAGCGCGAGACAACATGGTTTATTTGGACAAAACTCACGCGGATAAAGAGAGGTAAAGATCAGCATTTACCCTCAGCCTCAACCCCCCTCACACCCCCTACACCCCTCACCCCCCTACACCCCCCTCACCCTCACACCCCCTACACACCCCCTCAACCCCCTACACCCCCCCCTCACACCCCCTACACACCCCCTCAACCCCCCCTCACACCATCACCACCCCCCCCTCACCCCCATCACACCCCCTACACCCCCCTCAGCCTCACTCACCCTCACCCTCCCTCACCCCCCCTCACCATCACCACACCCCCCCCATCACCCCCCCTCACCCCCCCCACACACACACACCCTCACACACACACCAGCACGCCCCCCCCCCATCACCTCCCCCTCATACACACCAGCACCCCCCCCCACACCAGCACCCCGTCCCACACCAGCACCCCCCATCACCTCCCACCCCACACACACCAGCACCCCCCCCACACCAGCACCACCCCCCACACACCAGCACCAGCCCCCACACCAGCACCCCCCCCACACCAGCACCCCCCCATCACCAGCACCCCCCATCACCTCCCACCCCACACACACCGGCACCCCCCACACACACCAGCACCCCCCATCACCTCCCACCCCCCCCACACCAGCACCCCCCATCACCTCCCACCCCACACACACCGGCACCCCCCCCCACACCAGCACCCCCCATCCCCCCACTTTTCTCTTTGACCGTGCCTTCAGCTCCCCTCTCGACTCTCTTCCCCCTCCTCGCTCCCTCCCTTCCCTCCCCTCACCCTGACCATTTCCCCCCTCCTCGCTCCCTCCCTTCCCTCCCCTCACCCTGACCATTTCCCCCCTGCTCGGGTCATGACCCAACTGTGCAGCGCCTTGGGACGTCCTCCTGACGTGAAAGGCGCTTTATAAATGGAATCTTGTTGTTGTTGTTGTTGTTTCTCACTCACTGTCTCCTTCCCTCACTGTCTCCCTCCCTCACTAACTGACTATGTCACTTACTGTCTCCCTCACTCACGATTTCACTCACTCAATGTCTCCCTCCCTCACTATCTCACCCACTGTCTCATACATGGTACTGTCTCACACACTGTCTCACTCACTCACTGTCTCACTCACTCACAGGTGCAAACAGTCTTATTTGCTCTCCCCTTCATAAATTTAAAGGCCTCATGTCAGTATCACTCATCTGCACTGGAATAAAAGCCCTATCCTGTCCAGACTCTCCTGATGGTTCTATCCTCTCTTCCCTTGTGACATCCAAATAAATCTAAACTGAACTCTCTCCCTTCCTGTAATACAATAATAATTTTTTTGTTTTTGGTAAAGCACCTTTCACCTCTTGACGTCCCAAAGCGCTTTACAGGATTTACTGTAAGGTGAACTGACCGGGCGAATGTGGCAGCTGAGCTGTGCACATGGCAATGTCCCACAAACAGCCATAAGTGAAATGGATAAGTTACTGACCAAAACACCAGGAGTAACTCTTTTTGAACAGCCCTATGGGATCTTTGATCCTTCTGACATGAAAGGCACTATATAAATGCAATTTGTTTTTGTTAACATCTGCCTGAACAAGTAGATGGTCCTCGGCCGAAGGGCAACATCTCACAGTGCAGCACATCCCCAGCATTGCATCGGAGTGTAAGCATAGTTCTAAGTCCTGATGTGAGGCTTGAACCGCAATCTTATGACTCAGAGGCAAGTTAGCTATCTGCTGAGTCATACTCAACAGTCAATGGCCCTCATTATCCTACTGTGACCACAACTGTACCCGGTATTCAAAATGTGGTCTAACTACAGTTGAGCTGTTTCATTTTATGGCCTTATCTGGGCACGAACTGCCAACTTCCTCTTACCAAAGTAAATCACTTCACATGTTTCTATATTGAACATCATCTGCCCATTCTGCAAGTCTGTTTGCCCTCCTGCGTCTTTTGGCATACATTATTTCCCATACCAGTTCAGTGCCCTCGGTGAATTTTGACATACCTCTTGTGTTTGATTCCTAATCATTTCTGTGCCTGGTGAACAGCAGTGAACCTTTGCAGACCAGCATTTTCCAATTCTTACTCACTGTCCTTTACTCCTCTGTTTACCACCCTCTTTCAATCCATTCTACTATGTCTTCCATGATTCCACACGTCCTGGTTCTAGCCACGAGCACCTTATCAAAGGCCTTTTGAAAATCCATATGCATCACATCCTCTGCATTTATCTACTTTATCAGAACTACTTCAAAAATAATTGGGGGTGGACTGATGATGGCTTATCTGTATGATTATGATTTTAGGTGGGTTCAAAATCTAAATGGACTTTCTTGTCTTTCCGTTTTGCAGGTTTATTTGTATATATCCAGCATATATAAACAACAAGAAGACCCTCTCAGATGGCAGGAGAATACCAGTAGAAAAGGTGAAGATTGATACTGTGTTTTCTAGATCATAAAATCATAGAATGGAGGCCATTAGGCCTATTGAGTCTGCATCGGAGCTCAGAGCAAGTTGTGCTTTCAATCCCACTGCCCGGCCCTATACACAGGCCCCATCTCAAGCCTTAATTTTTCATATATTTAATTACTTCTCTCTGGAAACTCACAATCGACTCTGTCTCTACCACCCGCTTGACAGGACATTTCCATCCCAATAACTATTAAAAAATCTCCTAAATTCTGACTCTTATGACTATGTTATATCTATGTCTTCTTGTTACTGATTCCCTAATCAGTGGACGTAGCTTCTCACTATTTACCCAGTCAAATCCCCTCGTTTTGTATTCCATTTCTATTGCAAAATCTGTTGGTCTTTTGTGATGCTTTTTTGTTGTGTGCAGGCTGTTGAAAACCCAACATTTGGAGAGATTCGAGATGTTTGCACAGCAGCAGGACTAAATGTGGTTGTCGAGGTATGCTTCATTTTAAATTAATATTTGTGCTATTTCTGAAGGATCTTCAAAAAAGAATCAAATAAATGGTCTATACTTACACATCTTTTAAACTCTTTTCAGAATAAACTATACCCACGAGAATGGAACAGAGATGTTCAGTTCAGAGGCAGAATACGTATTCAACTAAAAAATGAAGATGGAACCTTATGTTTTGAACAGTTTCCTACACGTAAGTTTATGTTTTATCACTCGGGTTGTGCTAGTCATGGTATTCTATTTATATTGCAAACTTACGGCTCATCCTCATCCTCACCTACAAGGCCATTCACGGCCTCGCTCCCTCCTACCTCTCCGACCTACTATCCCCCTACCTACCTGCCCGTACCCTCCGTTCCTCTGGCTCCGGTCTGCTCCACATCCCCCGCCCCAACTGCCCTACCATCGGTGGCCGGGACTTCAGCCTCTCAGCCCCCAGGCTCTGGAACTCCATCCCCCAGTGCCTTCGCCGCCTCCTCCCTTTCCTCCTTCAAGGCCGGTCTCAAGACCTTTCTCTTTGACTGTGCCTTCAGCTCTCCTCTCAACTCTCTACCCCCTCCTCGCTCCTTCCCTTCCCTCCCCTCACCCTGACCATTTCCCCCTTCCTCGCTCCCTCCCTTCCCTCACCCTGACCATTTCCCCCTTGCTCGGGTCCTGACCCAACTGTACAGCGCCTTGGGACGTCCTTCCGACGTGAAAGGCGCTCAATAAATGGAATCTTGTTGTTGTTGTTGTTATGAGTTTTGGAGGCCAAATATTGTGTTTCTGAGTTGATTATTTTGCACTGGAGAGGCAAGTTGATTCTGCTGGCAGAGGTTTGGATGGTTAAGATTTTGTTTCTTGGTTGTCACTGAACTTAGTTTGAAATATTTCCTCGATCTTTAAAAGAAATTGTTTGAACCTTAAATTCCCTATCTCCAGGCGACGGTGACTATCATAGCCACAGGCACTTTTCTGGTACCTCATCCAATCATCTGGAAGCCCAAATCATAAGAGGTGTTCCACGCAAACGTGTATCAGGAGCCCATCCTGATTCTGTGCTCGCCGTAATTCATTATGATACATATTGAAAGTTTACTAAATTGGCCCGTATCTACTTATTCTAGTTCCTTTCATCTCCATTTTATAAGCAGGAGCAACTTTCAAACAAATTGAGTTTTGATTGGTCTCAAAGTCTGGGAAACATGATAATGTTTTTATTTGCATTCCAACCTTTTTCTAATAATTCAATAAAGTTAATCTGCTGACAAACAGATTATTATGGCTTCAATCTGCCACCTTTCTGTTCTACAGCCTAGGTTGATTTGGACTGACTATATGTTCTGCAAAATTCTGTTGTATATGTTTGAAAAGACAATAATTCAGATGGCAATTAGCATTTCTTTAAGTTGCCATGTTTAATTTTAGGGAAACTTAAAATGATCAATCTTGGTATTGATGTCATGTTCAAAACTATTGCATAGTTCTAGCTTTGAAGTTTATAGTGCTCCGAGTGTTGGAGAACCACTCTACTATCTGAAATGTTTATTGGCACTGAAGATGTGTTGGAAACTTTTGAATCCCCTCAGGTAAGGCAGTGATGTTGTACGTAGCAGAGATGATTCCCAAGCTGAAGACCAGGACCCAGAAATCTGGAGGAGGGGATCAGAACACACAACCAGGAGAAGGTGGCAAAAAGAGCAAGAAGAAGAAGAAATAATTCTGTGGGTAATGTTGCTGATGTCAAACTATTTATTCTGATAAAAGCACTGTTGGCAATGTTGGTTTTATAATTGTATTCCTTCAACTAAATAGCTTGGGGAGAATTTGTAACAGTGCAATTGGTTTAAATCAGTTCAGGAAATCAGTTTACTTGTCTTGGCACGGTCACCATTTCAGTCATGTTCTTGTAATTACACAAGTTTTTGAGTTGGTGTCATTTAACAAATACCTGATTACTGTTCACATTCTGTATCTGGTATTGGCTGAAATAAAACAGTTTCTGTGGGAAGACTGTGAAGACTAATATGGTATTTCTTGATGGGGTTCCTTATCCGAATTTTGCAACTTCTTTTCAGGAAAAGGAGTAAGTCAAACCAACCCTTTCACAGTTTGCTGGGAATTCTAATGGAATCCAAATTTGACCTTTTACTTTAACTGAATGTAACAGTTAAAATATGAATAATTGCAGACAATATTAAAGCTATAAGGTGATAGAATATCGGATGTAAATAAAGTCTTAAGCATTCTAAATCGGCGTGGTGGTTTGATTCAAAAGAAATTTGATTGATCACTTGAATGCATCAAAGGTAGGACAGTTTTGTTTCAAAGATTTACTCTTCAAAAATCTATCCTCGATCTCTAATGTTATAAACTACCGTCTCATCTCTAACTTGTCCTTGCCAAAGTTCGGGAATGTGTTATTGCTAATCAACTTCGGTCAAACCTCTCCTCTGCTCCCCACATGAGCCCCTCATGTCTAGTTTCCACCCTCACAAGGCCCAGTAACAGCGCTCGGCAAAGTCACAAATGATGTCCTTTCTTTGTGACCAGGGCTCCCTCCGCCTCCTTGTCCCCTGCACCTCTCCACTGCATTTGACAACAGTCGATCACCCCATCCTCCTCCACTGCATCACCTTCATCCATCTCAGTGGGACCACACCCTCCTGGTTTGAGTCCTACTTAACCTCCTGCCATCACTTCATCTCTAACGATTTTTCCTCCAGATCCGCTGGGTGATCTGCAGCGTACCTCAAGGCTACCATCCTTGGCCCCATTCTTTTCCTAAATTTACACACTCACTTGTGGCAACTTCTCCAGTTGTGACTCGAGGTCCACTGATATTCTGTCAGTTTGCTTGCTCCATCAGGGGCTGGATGAGCGCAAACTTATTGCAATTGAATGTTGACAAGACGGAAGCCATACCCCTTAGCTCCTATTAATACTCTTCTTTCCTGCGTCCCTGACCTCCCCAACCGCCGCGGTCTTTTCCTCAGACTTACTGAACCTATGAATAACCTGGGCGTCAGTTAACCCACAAATGTCCTTTATATCCCACATCCAGTCCCTGACTAACAGCTGTTTACTAATATCCACCATCTGTTTACTAATATTCCACACTAATATTCAATATCACAATCACATTTCCTTGCCAGGCTCCACTGACTCCATCACAGAATAGATTAACTTCAAGATCCTCACACTCATCTACAAATCGCTTCATGCCTTGGCACTCCCCTTGCTCTCTAACCTGCCTACTCCCCACTCCGCCGACCTGGATTGTTGGCCAAGACCGTAGGAGAATCTCCTATTTTTGAATAGTGCTTTGGGATCTTTGTCATCCACTTGGGACCTTGGTTTAATGTCACATCTGAAGAATGGCACGTCCCTCAATGCAAGATATTCCCAGCACTGCATTGAAGCATCAACCCACAATCATCTGACATAGAAGCAAGAGTGGTCTCGGAACAACAACAACAACATCAAGATTCCATTTATAGAGCGCCTTTCACGTCGGGAGCACGTCCCAAGGCGCTGTACAGTTGGGTCAGGACCCGAGCATTGGGGGGAAATGGTCAGGGTGAGGGGAGGGAAGGGAGGGAGTGAGGAGGGGGTAGAGAGTCGAGAGGGGAGCTGAAGGCTCGGTCAAAGAGAAAGGTCTTGAGACCGGCCTTGAAGGAGGAAAGGGAGGAGGCAGCGAAGGCACTGGGGGATGGAGTTCCAGAGCCTCGGGGCTGAGAGGCTGAAGGCCCGGCCACCGATGGTAGGGCGGTTGGGGCGGGGGATGTGGAGCAGACCGGAGCCAGAGGAACGGAGGGTACGGGCAGGTAGATAGGGGGATAGTAGGTCGGAGAGGTAGGAGGGAGCAAGGCCGTGAATGGCCTTGTAGGTGAGGATGAGGATCTTGAATTCTGGGGGATGGGGAGCCAGTGGAGGCGAGCGAGGGTGGGAGTGATGTGGTCCTGGTGCGGGACAGTACATGAACTGCAGAGTTCTGAATGACCTGCAGCTTGTGGAGGGAGGTGCCGGGAAGGCCGACGAGGAGAGAGTTCCCATAGTCCAGCCTTGAGGTGATAAAGGTGTGGACCAGAGTTTCAGCAGCGTGAGGGGTGAGGTAGTGCTGTAGTCTGGCGACATTCCAGAGGTGATGGAAGGTGGTGCCAGTTGTGGCGCGGATTTGAGGGAGAAAGGACAGCTCAGGGTCGAACAGAACCCCGAGGTTCCTGACTGTCTTTGAGAGGTGGAGAGTGCAGCCTTGGATGCTGATGGTGTCAGCGCCTGAGGTGCGGAGGCGCTGACACGAACCAATCAGGAGGGCCTCAGTTTTGCGCACGTTGAGCTGAAGAAAGTTGTCTCTCGTCCAGGACTCGATGTCAGACAGGAAGGCTGTCAGGACATCGGTGGTCGTGGAGTTGAGGGTAGAGGAGGAAAGGTAGAGTTGGGTGTCATCCGCATACATGTGGAAGTTAACCCCATGTCTGCGGATGATGTCACCAAGGGGGAGCATATAGAGGGTGAAGAGGAGGGGACCGAGGACAGAGCCCTGAGGGACACCGCACGAGACAGTGCGGGGGGTGGAGGAAAAGCCTTTCGTGGAAACATAGTGAAGACGGTGGGAGAGGTACAACCTAAACGACTCAAGGACAGGGCCTTGAAGGTTGAGGTGGGAGGACAAGCGGTGGAGGAGGATAGTGTGGTCGACCGTATTGAATGCTGCCGATAGGTCGAGGAGGACGAGGAGGCAGAGGGAGCCCTGGTCGCAGATGGTCAGGATGTCATTGGTGACCTTGACCAGGGCAGTTTCTGTGCTATGGGCAGCACGGAAACCCGACTGAAGGTGTTCGAATAATGAATGGGTGGAGAGGAAAGAGCGCAGCTGGGAGGCGACAACTCTTTCAAGGACCTTGGACAGGAAGGGGAGGTTGGAGATGGGCCGGTAGCTTGATAGCTGCGACGCATCAAGGGAGGGTTTTTTCAAGGTGGGAGTGATGGTGGCAGTTTTTAAGGGAATGGGAACAGAGCCACAGGAGAGGGACAGGTTGATGATGTCTGTGATATGTGGGGCAAGGAGGTGGTGCTGGGAGATAAGGAGTGGAGTGGGGATGGGGTCAAGGGAGCAGGTGGTGGGTTTCAGGGACAGGATGAGGTTGGTGACAGAGGGTGGGGAAATGGGTTCGAAGGTGTGCAGGGGAGGATGGGTAGGAGTCGGAGTGTGGGAGGGAGGGGGTGGGGGTGGGTGGAGGTTGGAGGGGAAGTGACCGCGGAGCGGATTCCCTTGATTTTGGATTCAAGGAAATCCAGCATCTCCTCACAGTGAAGGTTGGAGGACTTGACCTGTGCGGGGTGGCAGGGGGGACGGAGGAGTCGGGATGTGAGAGAAATTGAGTTTTAGGTCTCGAGTCTTCATTATTTTTTATATGGGATACTTGCTGTGATGTGTACATGGGAAAGGTGTATTTGTGTGTATTTATTCCCTATAGGCTCTCCTTAAAAACTACTGAACTATGTACACCCATGGTTTAGAATTAGAATATTAATATGAGCTAAATATCTGGGAATTTTGCAGCAACACTTAAAGGAAGGCTGAGAGCTTTGCTCATTAAAGCAGCATGCCCAGCTTTCATGACAAGAACCATTTATATACCAGGTTTTCACGGAGGAGAACAACTCGAAAGCATTCAATGGAAATTGAATGGGAGCCTGAACAAGGTGGGGCATCAGTTTTGAAAGGTGGCTGAATTGTCTTTGAATATAACTTTTGCTGACCGTTTGTACAGAACTCTTCTAAATTTTGCAGCAGGACTTAAATGGAGTCCGTGAGCTGATATCATTATTCACTTTGTTTGAAGGTTTGGTGTGCTAATGTGTGCAATGTAAAGGTATAATAAAACAATAATAAATTGGTCATTTTCAATCAAAGACTGTTTGTGGGACACTGCTGTGCACAATTGGCTGCCGCGTTTGCCCACAAATATACAGTCAATTTACTTTACAGTATATTCTGTGAAGCGCTTTGAGATGTCTCGAAAACGTGAAAAGCGTTATATCAAATGCAAGGATTATTATTATGTAGTAGAAAACAGAAGCCCGGGGTTGTTCTTCGCCTCCAGGATTATCCTGGAGTCGAAGGACGACATGGCCGAGACTAGAGTGGAGTGGTAGATTTTGAGGAAGGGGTGGTCACTGAGCTAAACTGACACACACATTTATGAAGCACCCTATATGTGAAGGAATTAAGGCAGGGAGTTCCAGAGTTTTGGGGCACACTGACTGGAGTGGAAGGGATGAAGGATGACAAGCTAAAGATATATGGTAGTTAAAAAAAGACGGTGACAACAGCAGAAGGGACTTTATAAGTTTATTGGGCACATATCAGACCATAGAGGACACTTACAGGCCAGCAAACAATCAATTACAGGACTAAAACCTGTACAAAGGTGAGAGAACATGACCATTTGTAACAAGCGATTAAACACTGATTGTAATATTACATTGCGGTTTGAGTACCATACACATTTCTCACTTTTATGGATTCTTGGTAAAATCAGCACAGGGGTTACAAGTGTAACAAAGACACATTCAAAGTGTGCATTAAAAAAAACTTTCCAAAGGCAATATCCCGTGTTCTTCTGCATCCTGAAGAAGTGAGGATAGAGGAGACAAGCTTTCTCACGCAATCTTTAAGTGCTTTTCTTTTCTTCCAAAAGTATATTTGCTGTTGCTTTCTTGGCTGGAAAGACACAAAACGCAACAAATGTACAATACAATGTGGGTTTTAAAAAGTAATCTTTACAGACTGCAATGTTTTAAATACGTATTTATAAGGTAGCCCAATATCACATCAAAATGAAATATAAAAGTAAACTGGATCATTGGCGATCAGCCTCTCAGCCTCCAACCTCTGGACCTCCATCCCACAGCCCCTTCACTTGCATAAAAATATTGCAATTGAACGCTGACAAGACGGAAGCCATACCCCTTAGCTCCTATTAATACTCTTCTTTCCTGCGTACCTGACCTTCCCAACTGCCCCGGTCTTTTCCTCAGACTTACTGAATTTACTGAACCTGTGAGTAACCTGGGCGTCAGTTCAACCCACAACTGTCCTTTGTATCCCACAACCAGTCCCTGACCAACAGCTATTTACTAATATCCACCACCTGTTTACTAATATTCCACACTAATATTCAATACCACTATCACACATTTCCTTGCCAGGCTCCACTGGCTCCATTACAGATTAACTTCAAAATCCTCAAACCCATCTACAAATCGCTTCATGCCTTTACGAAATTCATAAAGCTTCAAAGCCTATCTCAAGACCCTCCTCTTCAACCTCACCTTTGGTCACCCTTTTATCCCTACCTTCCGCGCCCTACACCCCTCTTGATCCCAATCCCCTGCTCAGGTCAAAATCCCTGATTGTCGAGTGCCTTGGTACATCCTCCAGCTTGAGACATCCTCTATACAAATGTAATTTGTTGTTGTTGGATAAGATATTTTTGTAATTTCTGAGTGCATCAGTTCTATCTGGGTTTGAGCAGCTCCTCACACAAGTGACCATTCATCATGCATGAGCCTGACAAGGATGGGTCGATGGGACGAGGGATTTGTTTTAAAAAGAGGGGGTAGGTGATGACAGCTGTGCCGGTGAACAAAGAGAGATTTATAACACAGGGGCAAGGAGGGAGAGATGGGAGGTCAGGAGAAGGGTGTGTATGGGGTTGAGGGATCATGTGATGGATGTTATATGAGATGAGGGAGTGACATCTCATATGGGATGTTTCTGTGCTGTACAATCTATGTAAATCTATACACATTTACATTTTGAAACACCTACATTACAACCATCATTAACATACCAACACTTGAAATGCTGTCTGCAGCCTCAGAGGCCTTGTTGGTCAAATCCTTCGCAAAACGATCCACTTTATCCCCATGCTTGATAAAGAAGGGGCGGATAAAGCGCTTGTAGATCAGTTGAGAACCATTAGAAGAGGTGGGAGCCATGCACCAAACCAGGAACACACACTGTAACAGAGGAAGAGACAATTGTGGTTTTAAGATAACTGGCTGTCATTGGATACAAATCATTCAATGTCTTAAACATCAATATGTAGGAGTTTAAACATTGACGATATGGTCAATCACATGTTTGACTACTGATAGTTTAAAATTCCAATTTGATTGCTTTATTTCCACTAGTATTTTATTTTTATTGCCATTGGTTGTCATTGGAGACAGCCCTTTAATTCATATAAACATCTCCCACTGTCTACCTTGCCTGAAGCAGGAGCACGACCGGGAAATTGCAGTTCAAGTTTATATAGCCAAAGATATATGGTTGGCTTTCTCCATTTTTTTTGCATGCAAGAGTACTGGAAAAGTGCTATTGATTGAACCGCCCTGGTCTGCGTTTGATGTCTCAGCGCGGAGCCTACTGTCTGAGCATTGTATGAGATGGAGGGATGTGTGGGAGGCAGGATAGGGAGATCAGTCAGGCCATTATAGGTCAAGAGGAGCAACAAAACATGTTAAGGAAGAAAATGGAAACCTGAGCATTATCAATAAATGGCCTAAGGGAAACAAACCTACAAAGAGGCTTGAGGGTTAGAAAAAGTCTAGCGACATACAGGTTCATAACAACGCAGGTCAGATAATTAAACTGTCAGAAGGTATGTACGTATTAATGTTGGGTGAGGACAGGGTCAGCCAAGACTCACTCACAGTTAATAATCAACTAATATTCTCAGAGAAAGCTTACACACGAATACTGGACATTTGAGCAAGGTACTGAAGTGCACTCGTAACCATAGAACTGTATCCCAGTAGAAGGGAAATGCCTTAAGTAAGAGGATGGATGACAATTAGAAGAGAAATAGTGACTGGCGAGAAAAGTCATGAACGATTAAAACCACGTCAGCCATACTGTCAACAGAGATGAGTGATGAGGGTACAGCTGGAAGGTGAAACGAATAGAACAAATTCAAGGTCTTGAGGTAATGGAAATTGGGCAATGCAATTTGATCTTTTTTTCAATAATTTCTACACCCCTCCCCCCCAAAAAAAATTGGTCTTTGGACAAAATGGTTCATCCATTCTCCCCCCACCCCAGGTTTACTCCATTTAATGCTCCCTTTTTCTATTGCTAAAGTTTTCACTGACACATGATGTGAAAAGCTGTTTTAACCAGGTTTAATTGGATGTGATTTCATACACTTTGAAGTGCTCAGGAACACAAGTACAAGGCAGAATCAGCTCTAACCACATCCTGTTCTAGCAACATATCAGCACATTTGGCCATTTAAAAATATATAAAACCCAATGCCACATCCTTCTTCTTTGAACTGAATCAGAAAATGTAGTTCTGTATGAAGAAGCTATTTATTAATTTAACTGGTTAATTCCTGAATCCCCAGTCCAAAATATCTTCCTGCATGAAATTAATTAGCTCCTATCAATGACTGGAATAGGGTGCCAGGAAGGGTGGTTGAGGCTTGATGCTGTGATGGGTAGACAATAGAGTGGGTATCATGGAAGGATGAGATCAAATTGGCTGAAGGGCTTTCTTCATCCGAACCAATCTTGGGATTTTGTGATTATTTTAAAAACTTGGATCCTGTTGCTCCATTTTGTTTTTTCCAGTGAGATTTTTCTTTGCCCATCTTCATAGCACAGTCACAGTGGTCCAGCAGCCATATTGCTCAACCTACATCTTTCTCCCAAGTACTGTGGCCACGACTGATCAGTATTATTAGAACCTCAGACTCTTCATCATCATTATTAATTAGTGCCTTGGGACATCCTCTCAATGTGAACTTCGCTAAAATGAATGTTAATTTTAGTATTGATGATGCTCAGGTTCACACTAGCTAATGGAATTACTAAGTGAGCCAACCAGACACTGTTTGCATTCTGTGTTGTAAGAAAGCACAAACCAAATTAAAATGAAGGATGAATTTAACATCTACTGTGCGCAATTGGCACCCGTGTTTCGCCCACAGAATACACAATCAATCCACTTTACAACATATTCCGTAAAGTGTTTTGAGACGTCTCAACAATGTAATATGACTCTATATCAAATGTAAGGATTATTATTAAAATATAGACTTAATCCTAAATTACGGTACTTTGTATCATTGAAAATACACTGCCTGAATGTGAAAACACATTTCTGATGTAAGATTCTAGAACATGTCAAAATGATAAGGTATAAATGATGTAAATACAGTAGAACCTTGTTGTTATAAAGTGCTTCATTACAATGTATTTTCACTTTTTTTTAAAAAAGTGTGGGCATAGGCCCCCACATTTATTTATCCATAAAATCCCAAATACAGAGGCCAGCTGCATCACCACTTGAAAATACCAGCTGGCATGAGGGGGAAACAGCCAAAATGTCTGACCCCCAGGTTATCAGGTCACTACTGAAGTCACTTCCTATCAGCTGCACATGGACAACAGGCAGAAAGTGACATTGATGGTGAGCTGATGCCCCAGAAGTTGGCCATTTTTTCTTCTAGCATTTTATCTTTCTGCAGATACACACAGTGAATTCAGATGTATTGAATGCAATCATGTCCTGTTTTAGGAATTGTTGGGATTTTATAGTTCCTGACAATCAAATTATAATGGAGCTCCACTGCATAAAGGGTTTATCTGACATGAAAGCAGAGCTTGTGGCCATTAGTTTAAAATGAACACGCTTCAGTGCTAGAGATTAGATTACAAATGCAATTCTCACACGGTAGTGGATATGTGGAACAGATTCCAAACAGAAGCAGCTGATGTTGTTCAATTAACTCCTTCAGAAAGAGAAGCTGATAAATATTTGCCAGTGTTTGGTTGGCAATTTGCAGGATCCTAGCAATGAAGCATAAAGAATGGCAAATTCTCTCCTTTACTTCATGCTGTGTTTATCTTATGTGATAAAGGAGGTGCAGACAATAGGAAAAATACATTTGCTGCCATTTTTATGGTTTGTGACCAGCTCCTCTTCAGCAATGTTGCTTGAGGACAACATAAGAATAATTCAGTTCACCAATGGAAAGCAAAATAGATAGATAAGTATCTACTTAAGGATAGTATTGGAGGACTGTCATTGCGATGACCAAGTACTCTTGGGGTCTTACACAAGTGGGAATCCATTGATACGTTTAAGAGTATCTGGACCAGGACTGAGAGTTCTGCTTTATGCACCTACTCACAGAAATTTAATTGGTTTGTGCACCAGAGTTCCTAAAAATCTGTAAAAACAACCAGCTTCCAAATTGAGTGAATTTAAGAATTTCCCAAAATTCAATCGATTATAAAGACACACTAACATTTTAAGATAATGAATTGGTATGAAAATATGCAAGAAGAATATCTTCATTTTATCCTGTTTTCATTCAAATTCTTCACACTGGAGTATCCTCTCACCGTTGTAGTGTTTATTCATGCAGTGCAACCAGTTGAAGCAACGGAACAACAGGAAAACATCTTTCAAAGCTATCTTTCATGTGCGTGTGTTTTTTTTAAAAAAGTGGTTAATCCAGCACTTCAGCTCTCTACAATATGCCAACCACATCTAAAACACTTTTCACAGAGTGTGATCAGTATCAGATGGAGTTAAGATTAATTGAGCAACGATTAGAAAAACTAGGGCTCTTCAGTCTTGAATGTAGTCATCTCAGAAGGGACCTTATAATAATGATAATAATAATCTTTGCATTTGATATAGTGCCTTTCATGTCATTGAGATGTCTCAAAGAAACAAACCAGTCATTTGGAGGCAGGGATTTTTTCCATTCTGAATGAAAGAAAAGCTGTTCGAGTACAGAAGTAGCAAACCCCTAATAATATTAGAAACAATTTTATCAAAACCTGTGAGCAGACTTCATGTTGAATACAGCCAAGACAGGGCTGTTTTCATTTGCTACACAGTAACCTCTTCAGTTGCTAGAGTGAGCCTAATTGTTAATGAGCTTTTACTACTGGAGCAGAAGAAATGCACCTCAGTTCAAAGCTGGGTTTAGTTAATAAACCATGTCGTCAATATTAACTCTGCATCTACCCCTTAGCTGTAAGTAACAGCAGCTTGCATTTACATTACTAAACAATGCACGGGGAGACATGCCACCTGGGTCAATGTAGAATTTCAGAGCTTCCAGAATTTGGTGAATTTTAAATACAACTTTCATTTTTGAAACTATTTTTCTCTAAATGCTTTTAAGAACTACAGAAAACCAGATTAAGTTTGAATTCAGTATTTGGCTATGTTTTGGAAACTCTGAAATGTTATGTATACAAAGTAAACCTGGAGGCAGTCGGATTTCTCCCCATCGCTGTGCAGCACAGGTTGTGGTGAATGGAGTATGTACACTGCCTGTTCAAATGGATGTTAAAGATCCCATGGCACTTCTTGAAAAGAGAAGGGAGTTTCTCCCGGTGTCCTGGACAACAATCTTAAAATCATTCACCTCATGGTTGTTTGTACAAATTGGCAGTAATGTCAATACTTTTCAGTATTTCCTGGGAAACGTTGAGACATCCTGCTAACGTGAAAGGCTTAATTAATGTAATGTAAGGATTAATTAATGGTAAACTAAGGTTAGCGGAGGCTGGAGAACAGCGCAAAAGTGAAGGCGGCGCACAATTGGTCAGTTTGCTTAGGATAAATATTTGTATAAGTTGTTTATAGTAAAATAGTGAATTTTGTCACCCAAATATTGTGTAGTGACTATCACATTATTAATGCAGTATTGCTCCCGTTTTCTACTCACCTTCCCAATATAATAGAAGGGGAACCAGGAGAGAAAGATGTCAGCGAAGAATTCTGCCACACTGAAAATACCGTACACCACCCAGTACATCAGCCAGATTGTGTCGTCATCCTTTTGGGGGCTTTCAATTGCCTTGATTCTGAAGCGAAGGAAAGGAGAGTTACTAAAGGTATTCATTCAAGTTGCCTTAGAGCTATACCACCACCGATACTGAACTAGATACAGGCAGGTGTCAAGACAATGGTTTTCAGGTTACATGAAAAGATTTGCATCAATTATGCTTTGTCTGAGCTGCTTTGTTAATGTAAGAAAAATATTTCAGCATAAACGAACATATCGAAATAACATTCAGGTGTTCATTTTTAACCAACTCGTCTGTTTTTGAAGGCTCCTTTTTACATGTACTGAATTCCACGGTACCTTTATTCCTTTGTGACAGTGAACATGTAGCAGGTTAATGGAAAGCACCAAAGCTGATATTGATCAAGAGTGATATAAACAGTAATGTCCCTAGTCCTGTCACAGCTGAGATCAACTAACCTAGCATGAACTTGAACACAGGAAACCTCGGCTCCTCACTGGGAAAACACTGGACTTTTGTGGGAGCTGTAAGTGAATTTGAATCATTTCACTGTGGAATGATTTATTCGAAACATATTTTAAATAAAATATTGCCCACACAGAGGTTCATATAATTATGACGAAGTTTTCCTTGAGATTATTGTTTGACTGATTGCTAGAACTAGACTTCTGATATTCAGCAAATAATTTCACGTCTGATTTGTGCAGTGTAGCAGAATCGAGTGCAGGAGTCCGTGATTAAGGAATTATGTAATGTTTTTTGCACTTTGTGATGCTGGCCACTCCTTTATATCAGCAAATTTTCAGTGAAAAGAGATGCTTAGGATTGGATTTGAAACAATTGAAAAGCCACTGTGGTGTCTATGAGAAAGAATACTGAAAACAATAACAAGTTGCATTCTTATAGCTCCCTTCATGTAGGCAACATAGGAACAGGTGTAGGGCATTCAGCCCCTTGAACCTGTTCCGCCATTCTATTAGATCATAGCCGATCTGTACCTCAACTCCAATTACCCGCCCTTGGGCCATATCCCTTGATACCCTGACCTAACAAATATCTATCTACCTCACTCTTGAAAATTTGAATTGATCCAGCATCCACAACCTTTTGGGGGAGAAAGGTTCAGATTTACACTATCCTGTGTGTGCAAATCCCTTTGTATAGCTTTACAACACCTCGGAGAGCTTCACAAGGATGGAAAGTGGGTATAAGGGTATTTATAATCACAGGTTCTTAGAAAACATGCTTAAAAATGTATTGGCTGTTGTGGAGCAATAAAGTAGATTTCATTTCAGCCACATATTAGGCATCAGGATTTAAATCCTACTTCTGAAAAATATAAAGTGACAATTACAGCAAAAGGAGTGCAAGTCTAATTTGTAGGATTCCGCAATACAATTCCTTAAAAAGGAACCAGAGGAGTTCAAATGGGGACTCCTTCCAGAAAACAAATGTATGTCACACCAACCCGTCTTTTTGACCTAATCAACTCAGGACAAAAATGCCTATGGGTGACTCTTGACATTAACTGTGGAATACAAGTGTCTTTGAAGTTTATCTTCAGCAGCATTTTCAAATAACTTTTCTAGCAATAACGTTTGATTAAAACTATGTATGAGTAAAATTGATAACAATTGCAAAGGTTTCAATACAAATAGATACAAACTGACAACAGAGAAATGGCTACATTTGTAAATACGAGGAGCTGGTAGCCATTTGTCCCAAATTAGTAGAAATTTAATAAAGCAGAGGAATCATGAACTTAGCTTTCATATCAAAATATTTCACATTGTGAGCTCTTTGTAAAAATTCTAATTGATTTTAAGATTAAGAAAGGATTCAATAGGGTGGTGATCGATAAGTTATTTCACTTGGTGGCGAGTCTAAAACAAGGGGGCGCAAATGTAAGATAGCCAGCAGTAGATCTAAAAGGGAATTTACGAGGAACAAGGTGGTGAGAACGTAGAACTTGCTGGCAGAAGCTGCGCACAAAGCAAAATAAAGAGGAAGCTTGATGCACACATAAGGGAGAAGGAAATAGAGAATTTATTGGAAAAGGAAATAGGAGGTGGAAACTCATGTGAGATATAAACACCGGATTGGATTAAGTGGGCTATGCCATGACATTTCTATGTACAGTGAAGTCCTGTAGCTTAGTGGTTAAAGCGCTTGCCTCGTAAGTGAGAGGACCTGGGTTCGATTCCCGGCAGGGTGAAACGCTGGCCAAGTTTCCTTACTCCACACGCCTCTGTTGACCTAGCAGTAAGTAGGAACCTAGGTTGTTAGTCGAATGGTGAATTGCTTTTCTGGGGGTAATAATCCCTTCAAAGAACATTTTTTAAAAAAATGTGGTCACTCAATCCATGACTGTTTGTGGGACACTGCTGTACAAAACTGACTGCCGCGTTCCATCCACAAAATATACAGTCAATTCACCTTACAGTATATTCTGTGAAGCACCTTAAGATTCTCAAAGACGTGATAAGGTGCTATATCAAATGCAAGGATTATTATAATGTAATTTATGGGCCACAAAACATTTTCAAAAACAGGTTACAAGGATACCATGTAATGTAACAAGTTACAAATTCTGTTTACAAACATGTGAAGTGAGCACATGTCTATTTTTTTTAGTCAAATATGGCAGAATAGTTTCACAAATAACAATATTCCTTAATGGTATAAACATGGAATTTTATGCTCTACTTATCTCACTATGAAGAGTATTTGTGTAAAATGTAAACATCTACGTAGCTACTTCATCCAAATGAAAAGATAAATCCGTAACAATTCAATTCCCGTTTCCAATTTAATGTGCTACAAGGCAGACAGCAACCCTCAGCCAAACCTAGCACTAATCTAGATATCACAGCTTATTCAAAGTAGAATACAACCTATGATTTTCTCTGTGTGTCTGCTTGTGTGACATCAAGGCCTGAATGAGCACCAACTTCCTGCAGCTGAACATGGATAAGATGGAAGCCATCCTTCTTGGCTCCGATCAACATCTTCTCACCTGAGAACTCCTTAACCTTCCCTACCTGTCCATCACAACCTTGGCAACGGGTCTGATCCCCAGTTATCCTTCCTATTTCACATACAGTCAGAACTGCATTCCTCCACCACATCGCTCCATCTTACTTCATCTTGCTTTTTTTCCAATGCCTCCTCGCCAGTCTCCCCAACTCGATAATTAACAAGGTTCAAAAGATTCAAATCTCTGCTACCCACATCATCATCCATACCAGGCCCCGCATCCTCATCACCCCAGTACTTGCCAGGCTCTATGGGCTCCCAGTTGCAAAACATTGTGTGCAGGATCAATTTAAAGTTCATCATTCTTGCTGTCAAATCTTTTGACCCTGGCACCTTCTACCTCTCCCACCTGCTCACACCCCAACTCCTCTACAAATCACCTTCAATCAACTGCTTCATGTCCTCCCCACTCGATAATTGGTGGCCAAGCTTTTAGACACAACACCTTGAATCTCTGGAACTCCCTGTCTCAATCCTTTCATTCCTCAGTGCCCATCTTCAAGTCACACCTGAGGACTTTCATCTTTGACTAAGAGAAAACCGTCATGAATTTAGAAATCTTACAAATCCCAAACATAGAAAGAATGGTAAAATGGGCAGACACATGGCAGATGAGTTTCAGTGTGGAGAAATGCGAGGTAATGCATTTTGGTAGAATGAATGAGGGGAGGCAATATAGGCTGGTAATACAATCTTAAGGGGGGTAAAAGAACAGAGAGACCTCGGGGTGCAGGTAAATGAATCCTTGAAGGTGGCAGGACAGGTAGATAAAGCTGCAAAAAGGTCATATGGGATACTAGGCTTTATAAATAGGGGCACAGAGTACAAGTCAGGAGGTTATGATTAACCTATATAAAACACTGGTTAGGCCTCAGTTAGAATACTGCGCCCAGTTCTGGGCACCACACTATAGGAAGGATGTTAAGGCATTGGAAAGGGTGCAGAGGAGATTTACGAGGATGGTACCAGGACTGAGGGACCTTGATTATGAGGAAAGGCTAGAGAGGCGGAGATTATTCTCATTGGGGCAGAGAAGGTTACGAGGAGACCTAATAGAGGTCTTCAAAATCATGAGGGGATTTGATAGGTTAGAAATAGAAAAACTGTTTCCACTGGTGTGTGTGTCGGTGACTCGAGGTCACAGATTCAAAATAGTCTGTAAAAGAAGCAGAGGGGAGGTGAGAAGAATTTTTTTCACGCAGCGAGTTGTTCGAATCTGGAACGCATTGCCTGCAAGGGTGGTCGAGGCCGATTCGATAACTACTTTTAAAAACGCGGTGGACGGGTATTTGAGGAGGAATGGTTTGCAGGGTTATGGGGAAAGGGTTGGGGAGTGGGATTGACATTAATTGCTCTTTTCAAAGGACCGGCATAGACTCGATAGGCCGAATGGCCTCTTTTTGTGCTGTACAATTCTATGATTCTATGAAATGAGGTTGGTGTGGGTAAAAATACTTACAGACGTCTCCTCTTACAGCGAGTATGTGGTTCGCTCGGTTGTGGACCATGTGCCACTCCAAATGTATAGTCTACATCTACACTCCACTGATTTCACTGAACAGGCATCACTCCCCCACCACTCCTGGCGACCTATCCGGGGGAGGAGGGGAGAGAGTGAGGTGCTGCCTCAAGCCCTAATTCATACATCTACATGCCTGACTGGAGGTTGATTGTGTGATTGATACATACAATCAATGCTCAATTGATTCTGTGCAACCAGGCAAATCAAAACTACAGACTTCCAGTTCAGTTCACCAAGGCTGAATTACAGCACTGCAGCTTTCCTGGATCACAACCACAACAGGATCCAGGCTTGGAATTTTGGGTGGGGCAGGAGATTTGAATGTCGGTAAATAAATGTCGAGTGTAGCAGCTTAAACCTGTAACAGCTGAACAACAGAGGCTGTTCCTTCTTCCCCGAAAAAGATACGTGGAACAAACTACAAAAATAAAAGCAGCTGATTTTGTGATGTTGTTTTGCTGACAGCCTTCGAGCAACAGCTTGATGATACTCTTCACGT